CTCGCTGTAGATTATAAAACCATATTGTTGAAGTCTATTTAAGTCATATGAAACATCTAATTAAATCGCGATATTTACTCATTCATGAACCATCTATAATGAAACTGCTTCTATGTATACAAGAAATCTTTTTTTCATTCATTAACCTTAAATACATCGAATGATACTTAATCAAGTAACTCTATTAATGATTATAAGAAATATGTCTTTAAAATAAGAGTATATGTATCCAACTTTTAATCACATTTTGTTTAAAGATTAGTAATGGTAACTGGTTGCCGAAACTGTGATACGTACAGAAGGGTTCATATTTTCATAGTTACTATCCTAAAACATATTATAACTGTAAAGATAAACTCCTTATCGATCACTAGTCATAAAAATTGATTTCTTATAAGGATTATACGTAAGATCATATATATATATATATATATATATATATATATATATATATATATATATTACTTACTTTCGCCTGTTACTCCCAATGGAGCATAGGTCGCCGACCATCTTTCTCTAACCCACTCTGTCCTGGGCCTTCTTTTCTAGTTCTATCCAGTTCTTGTTCATTCTTCTCATGTCTGTATATATATAATATATATATGCTAATTTATAAAGATTTCCAAAGTAACCTTTTCATGCTCAACTTACATAACTGTTATGTTTTTGACCTAGGCGGTAGCCAATTGTTATGACTTGATCAAGGTCATCGCTGATTCGTTATGACCTTACGAATTTAACAAGGACGTAATTCGCGTAAATTGTCCACCAATAGAATACGACTTCTACGACCTTCACACTGTTACAATGACGTTCGATTAATATTAGTAATCTAGCGTCCTTATTGATCCTTATCCGCCTAACCCGTCCACTTGAGTCCAGAACACCAATAGCAGCTGCTGTAATGCGAATCGTTTATTTCAAGCATACTTTGTTTATATATCAGACAGACAGGCCACATCATACCATAAAATAGAAAATAATATTTGTACAAAACCAGGCCAAATGAGGCTGTAGGCGTGGGAGACAATAATCAATAAAACTGAGTATAACATAGGGTCAGTAAATCATATAGTAATAATCAATAGGTCAAAATAAAGCTTAGATAATCTAGTTACCGAATAATTATACAATAAGAATGATAGTCCAATAGTAGGTCCTGCAAGTTACCCGTAGTTATGTCTTCGTTACTATATAACAATAACCTTCATCTCATGCTATCAAACAATTTTTGTTTGTTTGTTCGTCACCTATAATGTTTAATTACTCAATTAATTCCCTATATGAATAAATGTTATCAATATTTCAGTTGATTATTTTGAAGTTAATCATTCCAATTGAATTCTTTGTTATTTGTAGACAATACAAATAACAAAGAATCTTATGATTTGAATCATTATATTAGTTCATGAATAGAGCATTCAACTAATCATTGAATTCATAGACACAATAATGATATTCTGTAGGAATAAACCAGCTAAATATGGATAAAAATAATTTTCATCTTTTCAATGTTACAATGGTTCATTATTCATAGACGTTAGTCAATTCTTTAATCATTTTTTAGTACTGATTTAATTATCTAGAGATACATACAAGGGTTCATTTCATTTATTGATCATTTTCTAAAAAATATTTTATAAGATAACTTACTTAGTGTCTATTAAATTCACTTAATATTGTTTGTTTGTGTTAAGTCGGCTTACAATGAACTCTATCAGAGCCTCCAGAGAGGCTCATAAAGAGACCAACCAATCAGCGATTAGTTAGAAGCTATGCTACTAAAATGCTACTAAAATAACAAGGTCCTGATTGGCTGTTAACATACTGTTACTATGGGATCTCAAAGTCTTTTAGCTACTATAAAACCCCTGTTTTTCTGTACATAATTGAACCTTGTAGTAAAGTGCTTCTCTGATACTCGTGTCTTCTCTCTGGTCTTCCAAGTCGCCGAGTAGTGCTAGCCTGGGGTTATCCGAATAGCTAGGATCCGAATAAAGCAGTCAACCTACAAGTCATAACAGTTTGAATCTTTCTATTGATGTTTAGGACTGCAACTGGTCAGTCTCTTATTGGCATATGTTCATACTGTGTGTATTGCCTTAATTCACAAGTATTATAAGCAATGATGGATAGTGTCTAGTAGTGGAATGGAGTACGCGAATTTTGTCCCATTTGGGGCTCTTCAGCTGGATATTCCTGCATCTCAGAGTTATCTGTGTACAGTAATCAGTATTGAAGTTTACTAATAATTGTAGAGCTTGACGATAAAATTGTTTGTTCAAATATTCCTAGTTTTTGAATACTCTATGAAACTTATTGAATAAGTAGAGTTAAAAACTAGTTCTCGTAGTCAAATCAGTCACAGTACATACAATTACTTGCTAACTGAGTTTATCAAAATTATGTTACCAAAATACTCTTTTGTAATACAATATGACTTTCGGATCATTAAGTCTTTAGTGCAATCAAAAGACCAAACGCTTGTACAAGGCGAATAAATGGTAGCTCATAGTTCACAAATCAGCTTTAAAAATACACAAGTGAACAGAACTATACGTAAAACGTCCACAGTTTAGTTATTACTAAAATTTCTACAACTCATGGAACACCATAATTCTTATCAAATGTCAGGTATTTAATGATCTTTTAAACTATACATTTACAAAGATATTAATGATACCCAATAACCCATGCGGCCAAATAATCAGTCATATGTTATAGGAACACTAAATCAATTATCTTAGAGTTAAACGAAAATTGGATAAACTTCATTCGGTACCATCGATTGCTAAGATTTCAAACGATGGATCAAATAGAAATAACATGATAAACAAACTAACCATGTCTGTCTATCGCACAGATAACATAACCCACTAGGCAAAGTGTGAATTTGTTTGGATATCAACATACAGAATGTTAGTTTTTTACAAATCTACCAATAATAAGTAGACAAAGATGTTCCCAATCTTTATTTAGGCTTTTGTTAACTTTCTAGATATAACTGAATCCTAGAAATTATAATATTTCGTACATATTTAGTGGTAATATATGACCAATTTCATTTATTAGATGAATCTAAGATACAACATACAAAAGAGCACAGCTTTTCAGATTTTTCTCACGTATTCGAATATTTTATAACGCAAATATATTTGATGTGAATAGAGAAATAAATAAGTGATGGTGAACAACCGAAGCTATTTTTAGAGATATTATTTCAACTAATTCTAAGTTAATAGAATACCAACATTTAGATTGGTCCGTCGTGATTCTATATGTATGGGGTGGGAACTTGGAAAACTACGAAAGCCATCATTCAGAAGATAAAGGTATTTATTAACAGTTGTCTACGCAAAATATTTCAGATCCGTTGGCCAGACACTGTAAGCAACAACCTACTGTGAGAGAGAACAAAACAGATTCCATTCAACGGAGGAAGAAATCGGGAGGAAGCGTTGGAAGTGGGTAGAACATACATTGAGGAAATCATCCAACTGCGTCACAAGGCAAGCCCTCACTTGGAATACTCAAGGCCAAAGGAGAAGAGGCAGATCAAAGAACAATTTACGCCAAGAAATGGAGAGAGACATGAGAAGAATGAACATTTGGATAGCACTAGTGTTGTGAACAGAACACGACTCGTTGGGGACAATCGAATGTATTTAAGCAAAGATTACAGACTATCTCAATAAATTCTGATTACCAAACAATGAACAGTCAATTTGCAAATTAACAACCAATTGTTTCAATCTTCACTGTTTCTTCTCTTATTCCATTGCTCATGCATTTTCCAAACGATTGCGCTTCGTTTCAGTTCTTTGCTCATCGGTCTTCTGCCAAAATACATTCAATGTCTGACCCACACCATATACTACTTATATGGATATAAGTAGACCACACCACACTCGTCCCCCATTTAAAGCATTCGACCATGCGGTGGTTCTGCTCGCCACGCCACTATCTTCTTTCACTGCAGTCTGTGCCAAACTCTCCGTCAGAATGTCGAGTCTGCGGCGCGCTGACCTCCATAGCTCCGTCGACCTGCCGGCGCACCAACATCCGCATCCACCCGGCACCTGGGACGTTCAACACCCGTACTCCACCGGCCTGCTGAGCCATCTACATCCGATGTCCGCCCAGCAGCCGCACGTCCCACTGCTCCTCTCCGTCGACAGCACCCGCTACAGCCAATGCCGCCCCGCCAGAACACTCCACTCGACGCCACCTCTCCGCACCAGGCTGCCCCAACTAGCACCTCAACTCCTGACCCGCAGCGGCGTCCGCAGAACAGCACCCTTCCTCCTCCTGGTTGGCAGCGACACCAAATGTAGTGAACAGAACACTAGTTGGTGACAATCGAATGTATTTAAGCAAACATTACAGACTATCTCAATAAATTCTGATAACCAAACAATGAACAGTCAATTTGCAAATTAACAACCAATTGTTTCAATCTGCACTGTTTCTTCTCTTATTCCATTGCTCATGCAATGGAATGCTGATCGGCGGCCTATGCTCCACCGGGGGTAACAACAGGCTTAAGTAAGTGGTGATTCTATAAACCACAAGTTTAAGTTGATGCACGATTCACTGCCATACCTTTTTCTATTCTAAAGCTATTGTAATTTAAACGTAATGTCTTGTACTGCAGAAATTTTCTATCGTAATAGTTAGTTTGAACATAGTTGTACTTTCCTAATTGTTTGTGAGTTGTTGTTGTGCTAGTCATCTCTTTATTCATGTATCCTTCTACACTAATCTGAATCGGGAATCAAGAATAAATTGAGTAGTATTCCAGTCGACTTGTCTTCTCTCTCGCGTGCGCCAATCAATCAAATGACAGAATAGTTTTCCTTTCTCCACTCAAGGTCGTCGGTCTCAACTCAAAGTTCAACGAGTTAGCCTATCGTGCCAATACCTTCATCTTAATCGAGACAAGTTCTCTCCTACATATTATCAAGTAAACAGATTAAAAACATAACAATATAAAATATTTTAATTAATTAATTATAATTTATCACAAAAAAAAGGGAAACAACAATTCCAGACTCAACCAAGTCAACATGAAAGAATAATAATGTACAAATGAAAAATTTTCTTGTTTTTTTGAAAAACAAAGAGAAAAAAACAAAAACAAAAAAAAATCTTGGACAATAATCATGAATATGATTACATAAAATATTATAAAGAGTAAATAACAAACATCTCCATCATGTCAATGGTTAGTTTTATAATACAAAAATCAATGGATAAGAAAGATATTGATGGATAAAATAATAACTCCCCACTCCCATCAAAATTTCAACATTAATATTGACAACAATCTCTTTTTATGATAACCACCAAAAGAAATGTTGTTATATGGATCAATAAACGGAAACAATATACAAAGGAATAACATTTATGAATGTTCCATAAACATATCCTCCTCCTCCTCCTCACCATCATCATCATCATCATCATCATGAATATGACGTAACAAACAGTTGAATTTCACAAATGGATATATGTATAGATATTACTTATAAATCAATATAATGATTAGTTGAATATTACAAAAAATAAACCTAACCCATATAGATCACATGTAACACCCTAAATACACATGTATCTATGATTGTTTAAATGTGTATTAAAGTTTAAATTGTATAGTATATTTGATGCAAAGAACAAAACACACACAAAAAAAACAAGCCTATCAATGTTCACCAGTTGAATGAAGAATGCTGGTAGGTGGTGGCCTATGCTCCTTCACAAAAGCAGGAAACAGGTATAAGTAAGTAGGGGGTAATTAATGTTCATTGAATTAATTATAAATAGGCATAGATATATGTAAATGTGTATTTGTGTTTATTATAATAAACAGAAAAGAGGAAATAAACAAATGATCATTCCGTTGTTGTTGTTGTTGTTGTTGTATTTTTTTTCTTCCTTCATAAGAACTAATTTAATTTAACGTAAATTATATGCAAATGTTTCAGTTATAGTAGGTGGTAATGGTTTAAGATTAATGACTTCACGTAAACGTTCATTATCCCAAATAGTTTGTTTATTATTATGATTATCTGTGCAGTTGACAACAGTATTAATACCAATAGTATGATTAATATTACAATTATTATTATTGGTATTAACAGATTTTGGAAAATAGCTTGGTGTTAGTGATCCAAATGTTGATGATACTGACAATGATGGTGATAATGAGGAAGTTTGTTTACTTGATGAATTATTATATTGGATATTTTGTTTATCATTATTATTATTAGAAGTAGTAATAGAAGCAAAAGGTTTAGACCAATTATCCGTAGGTACATCATCTGTTTGATCTAATGACAATAAATCGAAATTATTCAACGCTGCAGCAGAATATCTAACAAGAACACAAAATAAACATCATAAAATGTTGTAGGGAATTAGTGAAAATTAGCTTATAGGTCGATTATTCGATAATTAATTAATAGATCAGAAGGAGTTATGTGGAGATTTTAGTATTTTCATAGTTGAAATTATGAGTCAATTGAAGCTAGACCACTATGGAAAACCTTGAAGCACTGGACGGCATTTTCGTCCTATTATGGGACTCCTCAGCAGTGCTCATCCATGGTTGAAGTTAGACATTAACACCGTTGGATGCTGGCTCAATTGTCTATTGGTTAAGTGCTTTGGCGCGAGACCGGTAGGTCCTGGGTTCGAATCTCGCGAGGCGGGATCGTAGATGCGCACTGCTAAGGAGTCCCATCATAGGACGAAACGCCCGTCCAGTGCTTCCAGGTTTTCCTTGATAGTCTAGCTTCGATGGACTCAAGCTTGCAAGTAAGTAAGTAAGTTATCTAGATAAGATTTGTTTACAATCTAAGCTATGAAATGAATAATCCGGTGTAAATTAGATTATTTAGATAAGTAACTCCTTTTTTATCCCTTAAAATAATGGAGAAATAAAATATAAATTTGTTGATCATCAGAAAAAAAACCGAAATAGTAAATTTATAAACTGGATACGGATAAATAACCGGATACATAAACATGAATTAATTGTAATTGGTTGACTGAATTGAAGACAAATACCCACACACACACACACACCAATTAAAAGGAAATTATAAATGAACATCAATTCTTTTGGTCATCTATGTTGTGTTTGATCATTGATTTTTTTCTTAAAGCAAATAGTTTAACCGGTACATTATTTTAACTGGTTCATTAATGAATATATACCTATGTTGTTGATAAAATATGAGAATAAGGAAGAATGTTAAGGTTAAATGAGCGGTACTAAGTAAATGTGGCAAGCTAGTTGATGAGATAGTGAGTCTTTAACGATTGAGGTAGTTATAATATAGATTACGTAAGCCTAACAACCACCTACCTTGATGAGCGATATTTACTGATGTAGTAGGTTTAAAAAAAAGCTAGGAGTGATCAAAGCAGGACATACTGTAAGCCCGTGAATCCATTGACTGTTCGATTGAGAGAGCCGTATAGGTGGAGGGGTGAAGATATGACTAGAGCAAAATCATCGTAATCTATGGTTAGAGATTTTGGGTGATGTGACCCAGATGCAATCACTTTTTGTGTTTCCTTAGAATATGGGTAGATAAAAAGCCTTGTTGCGCTTTTTTAAGCGGTGTGGTAACCTTAGTCGAAACGTATATACACTAGATCCTATGCTGTTGATGAGACTAACTCACTGACTGATAGGCTATTGTATTAGAGTATCCTATATTAAAAGAGAGCTCGCAAAAGTATCATATACAAATGAAATCAATATCTGGTGGTTAATAGATAGAATAATCATCAGAGAATCACAGCTTGACTATTACAAACTAACAAGCAGCCTGATAACATCTTTTCTCAAAGATGACCACACAGACCAAAGTGAAAAAACCACAGGCGGACTAATGAAACATCAAAATGATAATTATGAAGATTTAATCAGAGTAAATTACTACTACTATTAATAATAATATGACAAGAGCTTATAAACAGTAATATCAGTTGCACAATGAATGAGATGATGTAATCCAATGACATTATTTATAATTCCCTAGAACGGCTAAATAATAATTGGAAATAGGATTTAGGATGTGCGTTCCTTCTTATTAAGGACTAGTTATCTGGTTTGACGTATCTGTACCCCGGTGTTAATATTCATATTGACAATCAAACCCAATATGTACCTGTCACTTTATACGCTAAAACCTGTCATCCAAATAACCCCTAACTTGCTTAACAAATATGAGGTTATTTGTAATAATTTATTTACAAAGAAAAAACTTCTATCAACAGATAAGAAAGTCAATTTAAAACTTTAAATAACTCACTTAACAACCGATTTCAAGAATTGAGTAGCAGCTCCTAATGGTGAAGATGAAAGGGAACAGACTGACGATTGAGGTGAGAAATCTGAAGTGGAACTTGATCGATTTGGGCTATTACCACCAGATGATCCAACGAGTGATTCTCTTTTCAACGCCGTTGGTGTTGTTGTTGCTGTTAATGGTGGTGATGATGATGAAATTGTGAAGCGACCACTTGTTATACCAGCAAGTGATGTTGTTATTAACGGAAAGGAATCATAATGTTGTGATACATTTTCAGGACTAGATTCCGACGATAATGACGATGATGAAGAATTAGAAGATAAACTTTCTTGTTTACGACGTGTATTCCCCAAAGAACTACCCAAATTGAACCATGATTGAAAAGCTGAACTATCATCCATATTTAGTAAAACATTCTGAACAGTTGTATGGTGCGGATGAAATGTTTTTGGAAAAGGTGACTGGTAATGAACAGGAGAGAAAAACAACAGCTAATAGCATTTTCATTAGAAACTTAATAATTAAACTATTTAGAATGCAATCAATTGACGCCTGTGATTTTATAAGAATGAAGCTTAAAAAACATCAAAACTAATATATATATATATATATATATATATATATATATATATATATATATTCTAATTGAAAGTCCCAATAAACTTGTGATACTTCACTCGTTCACCAGGTATACATTCATTTGCTTAGCTTCAGGACACTCTAAGCGTTAGAGTCCAAAACAAAGTAGGTAGAGTGCAGTTGGACCATGAGACTTAAGTGGTTGAAAGTTAAACGCCATGGCATCTGGTAGTAGGACTCGAACCCTCGATTGCCGAATAAGCTGACCGAGCACAAAACTGCGGTACACAAGAAGTGTGACTACAAACCGTATACGCTTGGTGAATTTTATTTCATGGGAGGGTGTTAGCGTATTAATAAAAGTATTCAGCTTTCAATCGATGACGTGCCAGCTCAAACCATATCCTATCTACCAAGGTTTGGGTAGTTGAGTAGTTCCAAACATGACGTAACCCAAGTTCGAATACCGAAACATCTTAAGACTACAAAAATTTATCTTATAGACAGCAATAACAAGAACCTGTAATAAAATGTATTTGAAAAAAATTTAGTCTGATCTTCGAAATCATCTTCAACTAGCTGATTTTAATCACTAAATAATAGTATTCGATCAGCACTAAGAAGGACTTGACACGCATGACATTGATCACCACCCAGTGATCAATCAATTGTCACTAAATAATACATTCATCGGTAAAATGGAACAAGAAAGACGTATATATCTATGTTTAATAGTCAGACAATAGCTATTCATCATTACTTTTTTTTCAATAATCTATATAGTACAAGTACTAGTAACTCCGCCTGTAGCTCCTCCAGGGGCTACTGCCGGTCCCAAGCCCGGGTAAAGGAGGAGGGTTGGGCATGGGGTTAGCGACCCTATCCCGTAGAAAATCAACTCGCTAAAAAAACGCTAACCAGAAAAATTCATTCAAACCATTCAAACTCTGCCCTGGGAGTAGAAGGAAAAACGACGTCTCATGATGAAAGCCGAGTTCCTTCGGAAGTCATGAGGCCGATGCACCTTCTTACAACCAGAGCGACAATTTTTATAGGTACATGGAATGTCCGGACAATGTGGGAGACCGGCAGAGTCTTCCAAATTGCTGCGGAAATGAGGAAATACAACCTGGAAGTGCTTGGAATCAGTGAAACACATTGGACGCAGGTTGGACAACAACGACTGTCTTCAGGGGAACTTCTGTTACACTCCGGTCATGAAGAAGAAAATGCCCCACATACACAAGGAGTGGCACTGATGCTGTCTAGAAAAGCACAAAATGCACTTATAGGATGGGAATCTCATGGACCGAGGATCATCAAAGCCTCCTTCAGAACAAAGAGAGAGGGCATTACAATGAACATCATCCAATGCTATGCGCCGACCAACGACTACGATGAAGACGCTAAAAACCAATTCTACGATAGGCTGCAGTCAATCTTCGAGCAGTGCCCAACCAAGGACCTGACCATTCTGATGGGAGATTTCAATGCCAAGGTTGGAAAGGACAACACTGGATACGAAGACGTCATGGGACAACATGGACTGGGAGGAAGGAACGAAAACGGTGAGAGATTTGCAAACCTATGTGCCTTCAATAAACTGGTCATAGGTGGCACCATATTCCCACACAAAAACATACACAAAGCCACTTGGATTTCACCGGATCACACTACACAGAATCAAATCGACCATGTCTGCATCAACAAAAAGTTCAGGAGGACGATGGAGGATGTGAGAACCAGGAGAGGAGCTGATATAGCATCCGATCACCATTTGCTGGTCGCCAAGATGAAACTAAAACTCAAGAAGCACTGGACAATTGGGCGGACAACATCACAAAAGTTTAATACGGCCTTTCTTCGAGATGCTGACAAACTCAACGAATTTAACATAGCCCTCAGCAACAGGTTCCAGGCCTTTCATAACCTACTCAATGAAGAGGGAACCACCATAGAGAGCAGCTGGAAAGGTATCAAGGAGGCAATCGTTTCAACATGTCAGGAGGTTCTGGGCCAAAAGAAGCACCATCACAAGGAATGGATCACTGTTGGTACACTGGATAAAATTGAAGCAAGGAGGAACAAGAAGGTAGCAATCAATATCAGCCGAACAAGAGCAGAAAAAGCCAAGGCACAAGCCGAATACACAGAGGCAAACAAGCAAGTGAAGAGGAGCATCAGGACCGACCGACGTAAATATGTGGAAGATTTAGCGATGACAGCGGAAAAGGCTGCAAGAGAGGGAAACATGAGACAACTGTATGATACAACAAAGAAACTTGCTGGAAATTACCGTCAACCAGAAAGACCAGTGAAAAGCAAGGAAGGCAAAGTAATCACCGACATTGAAGAACAACGAAACAGGTGGGTAGAACACTTCAAAGAACTCTTGAATAGACCAGCTCCACTGAACCCACCCAACATCGAAGCAGCACCCACAGACCTCCCAATCGATATTGGCCCACCAACAATTGAAGAGATCAGCATGGCCATTAGACAAATCAAGAGTGGCAAAGCAGCGGGACCAGACAACATCCCGGCAGAGGCACTGAAAGCAAATGTAACAGCAACTGCCAAGATACTACACATCCTCTTCGGTAAGATTTGGGACGAAGAACATGTACCAACAGACTGGAAAGAAGGACTTCTCATCAAGATACCAAAGAAAGGCGATCTAAGCAAGTGCGACAACTACAGAGGCATCACTCTCCTCTCAATACCAGGAAAAGTCTTCAACAGAGTATTGTTAAACAGGATGAAGGATTCCGTGGACGCTCAACTTCGAGATCAACAAGCTGGATTTCGTAAGGATAGATCGTGCACAGATCAAATCGCAACTCTACGTATCATTGTGGAACAATCAATCGAATGGAATTCATCACTGTACATCAACTTCATCGACTACGAGAAGGCATTTGATAGCGTGCACAAGACGACACTGTGGAAGCTTCTTCGACACTACGGTGTGCCTGAGAAGATAGTAAATATCATACGGAACGCCTATGATGGACTAAACTGCCAAATCGTCCACGGAGGACAACTCACCGACTCGTTCGAGGTAAAGACCTGTGTTAGGCAAGGTTGCCTACTCTCACCCTTTCTCTTTCTCCTGGTGATCGACTGGATTATGAAGACGTCAACATCTGGAGGAATGCACGGGATACAGTGGACAGGCAGGATGCAGCTTGACGATTTAGACTTCGCGGATGATCTGGCTCTTCTATCACAAACGCAACAACAAATGCAGGAGAAAACGACCAGTGTAGCAGCAGCCTCAGCAGCAGTAGGTCTCAATATAAACAAAGGGAAAAGCAAGACTCTCCGATACAATACAATATGCACCAATCCAATTACACTTGACGGAGAAGCTTTGGAGGATGTGGAAATCTTTACATATCTGGGCAGCATCATTGATGAACACGGTGGATCAGATGCAGATGTGAGGGCGAGGATCGGCAAAGCAAGAGCAGCATACCTACAACTGAAAAACATCTGGAGCTCAAAACAATTGTCAACCAACACCAAGGTTAGAATTTTCAATACAAATGTCAAGACAGTTCTTCTGTATGGGGCAGAGACGTGGAGAACTACGAAAGCCATTATCCAGAAGATACAAATGTTTATTAACAGCTGTCTACGCAAGATACTTCGGATCCGATGGCCAGACACTATCAGCAACAAGTTACTGTGGGAGAGAACAAACCAGATTCCAGCGGAGGAAGAAATCAGGAAGAAGCGCTGGAAGTGGATTGGGCACACTTTGAGGAAATCACCCAATTGTGTCACAAGACAAGCCCTCACATGGAATCCTGAAGGTCGAAGGAGAAGAGGAAGACCAAAGAACACATTACGCCGAGAAATAGAGACAGACATGAGAAGAATGAACAAGAACTGGAAAGAACTAGAAAAGAAGGCCCAGGACAGAGTGGGTTGGAGAAAGCTGGTCGGCGGCCTATGCTCCATTGGGAGTAACAGGCGAAAGTAAGTAAGTAAGTACTAGTGGACGGATTCATTTCAATATGTTGTTGGCAAAAAAAAGTATCATATTCTTTGGAATAAAAGAATTCATTATACGTTTGTAGGGGTGACTTTCATCGTTAGATGTAAAAAAAACTTTCATAACACATTCAAATATCAAACATAACTATTCACGAAATTCTTATCATAAATAGAAGATTAGATAAAATAAGATGGTATAGTCGTATGACTTTATATTACAAACTACACGTAAATTGAGAGTATACTTTAAATGATCAACAAAATATTGTAGCCTTGAAAAAAAGTTATTTTTGTAAAAACAACCCTCGATACTTTGATCGATATTATAACTTGGGTTTCTCTATTGATGGGAATTAGTTAAAATTGAATATTTTAATAGTTGAAACCATGAGAAGCAGATACCATATAAGCTTCAACCCTATAGCTCAATCTTGTAGCGCAACCACACAGGTAACAATCAACCTGGTGGACCATTCGCATCATTCATATACACATTCATATCACATGGTTACTTATTCTGATCAATGATCACGTAAATCAATTATTCACAGCATGAACAGGTCAAAGTTGTCCCATTCAGCTTACACTAAAGTCAAACTCATTACTATTAGCAATAGCGACATGCCTTACAATGTTCCAATGACAATGGCCCTTGAGAACACTGAAAAGCAACCACCAGTATGAATGAAATCGGTTAACCAGCAAACCAATTTTGCGCATGAACAGTCAGCAAACCTTGCCAAAATAATGCCGCACCATCCACATTGTCAATAACGAACCTCCAGTCTCATGTGAAACCTTCAGCTCTACATGGCAATATAGCTTATACCGCATATATCACATATGTAGAGTAGTAAACGAAATAGCTCAGTCTGAGGCGTTAGGACATAAAAAACGTTTAAAATCCATTGCCTCGTGTCGGAATACTATTACAAGACTATTAAAATTACTATAATATCCACAAAACTCCTTCTCAAATTTAATATGACTGGATTCTATAACATTTTAACTTCCGACTATTAGTTTTATTATCACCGTTTTCTAGATGCTGTGAAACTGCTCGCTTAAAACTGAAAAGGAGTTCTTATAAAATACACTGACTGGTAATTATTTGGGAAGTGTAGCAATGGTCCAGCTGTTAAGGTACTTGACTTTCAGTCACGAAATCACAGGTTTGAATCCAGTTTCACCTACTTCGGTCTGGGTAACCAGGTAGTATCGTTAGCCTTTACACTTAAAGTGTAGTTTAAACCTAAGAACATGAATTTGTAGCTGGGGTAACGAATGAATAACAATGTTGTCATTATTTGAAATACTATGGTAAAGAATCTCTCGAATTTCGGAAAGAGTTGAATGCATCCAAGAGTTGTATTAATTGTAATAACTACAGTTGAAGACACTAGATAAAAGTCGAAAATTAGTTACAGTAGCACAATCGCATTTATGCTTTATCTTCCTCTAAAGTACTGAGCTTAGTACCAATACATACTCCTATACTTCAAGCATCCCAAAAGATATGACTATCGCTTTTCTCATCATGTTAATTCACACTCTTGTTATACTGATAACGTATGTTGTGTCAACTTAAGGCAATAAACATCTGTACTAGGTTGTCCTACACGTTGACTGGTAGTCTGATAAAACACTTGTAACCAGCACTAAACAAAAAACCAAAACACGAGAAAGTACATTTCGTCTTTGAGCCTAACCGACAAGTATCACATTACTTTACGTTTTATTGAAATTTTGTACAATAATAGTCTAGATTCATACGACAGGAAAACAAAAATATCAGCATCGAATTGTTATTGTCTATATTTATCAAATCGAAACCAAAATTTCCTTTTTGTTTCATTAATTAAAATAACCGAAACCGATAGGTCATGGGTTACAATCTTGCGAGTGCGGGGTCGTGAATTCACACTGATAAGGAGTTTCACAATAGGAAGAAACGGCCGTTCAGTGCTTCCAGGTTTTCCATGGTAGTCTAGCTTCAATTAACTCATGATCTCAACTGTTAAAATTACTATAATATCCATAAAAACCCCTTCTGACATAATAACCTAGTCAAAGTTTTTGGTAACCTAGATACATTGGCCATGAATAAAGCGACCAATGAAAATACAACGTACAAGGTCATAGTCAGCAATGTATAAATACAACAATCAGACAATCATAAACTAATATAAAACAGACAGCGATGTAATATTCTAATCATATGACGATTAGTTAACAATGTGAATCACCTGATTCTAAAGTAGTAATGATGAACAAAAGAGATGAACACATGATAAGAGGATTATTAGACGAATATAATTTACATGAGGTGATAACGAAAAAATATTTCGATCAATGTTTATGATAAGAGAAATAAATAAAAGTAAAACTCCTATTTTTAAATCCTGTATAGTCATTATTTCTACCGTTTGAAAGACTTCGAATTTGATAGATTTTGGCAGACAATTACTAAAGTAATAGACTACTGTAAACAATTGATTTATATGTTGGGTGTATGACCCAGTTTGAATGGTTGATCGCCCTATCTATGAGTTTGCTTAGCCATGACGGAAGGTATTCACACAAAAAAAAAACAGATTCTTGGAATATCGGTAAATGCAAATCGCTTTACATAAATAGTTGAATTGATAGATACAAAAATAAGTGGTTGAACTAGGTGTTTCATTTTTTTAAATCTTGATTTTACGAACGAATAAGAACGGTTTGTCATATCCGGACGAAGAATAAGGGGATGGTAACTGCTAGAATCTATTTATGAACTTTTTTTATATATATTCTTATTGCATAACTACTAAGTAACTACATTATATGTTATGTATATTCATATTCCTCTTATTGTAAGCTTCCATTTGACCTATTATACGATTTACTATTCTTAAGTCATTCTCAATTTATTAGTTACAGTCTCTCACGATCACAGCCACTTTTGGCCTAATCTTGCATAATTTTTATTTTCTATTTTATGGTATAATGCGGTTTGGTTTGTTTGTATATAAACCGCGTATGTCTGAAATACAGGATTCATATAGCGGAGGCTGATATTGGTGTTCTAGACTGAACCGGCTGGGTTACGCTAAAAACTACTATCTCAGAGTTGATTCTGGGCTGCTCTTATTGGTTGATGAGTCATTGGTTTGGTCATATAAGTCGGTGTTTCTAATTGGCGATTTAATCAAGTGACATATTAACAGGCCATAAAGATACAACAGTTGACATACTACTCCTAGCTGTATACCATTAGATGATACGGTACTCGCATAACTCTTCAAGTTAGTGCTCTACTTTATATCTTATTAAGTGATAAATGCCCCGACAATATTTGAAGCTTGTGACAAAAAGATAACGTAGTGTTTATAACTTTAAAATACCCAAGATTCCCATTGTGAAAATTAGAACAACATAGATATAAGCGAGCAATATTTGCAGCCTACTTGAACATATGGGCTACCTGTTCTTGTCATCTAGATATTTCAAAAAGTTATCTGGTTTTGTTTGCTTTGACACATTATTATATCTATTAATCGGACAACCTATTCTAATGGGTTCATGAAAAGCTTACAAGCTTTTGCTGTATAAGTTACAAGAAATTCCAATCAGAGAAATCGTGGTTGCCGGCAATATGCAGCGAAAAGAATGTATATTATTCAGACGTCGATGCCTAGACTACTGACTTCTAAATGGCGACCACTCAATATTCATCGTCAGGATCGACCAAGAAGTAAGAAACGGAAACTTGTTGAAATACTTTGTGCTGAGAATCATATATTGTACCAAAAATATAAATGTGAGTAAAGCCTATAATAATAAATAACTTAACAATCAGGCTACACTTCAATATATATGATTACTTATTTGTCTAAAAAATTTTCAAACCAATCGATGTAATTTGTGAGTTGATGATCAAAATGTAGTAGATTGCATAACTACACATAATTTATTTATTTATTTAAACACATTAATATTGGTACAAAGGAGCACCAGATATATATGCGCCATACAAATCTCATTCGATTTGTGTGAAGGCTGTGATGCTGCCCGGGTGCCCAAACCGAAACAGGTGGTTTTCTTAAGAGGCCACACCCCGAGCCTTTGACCTAAAGATCTGATCCACAAGGCAGTGGAGCATCGTAAGGAGATGTAGTCCCATGGTAGCCGCTGACCAACGATTGGTTCATACGCCATTTGTTCCATCAGGATGCTGAAGCCCATGTGCATCATTGGTTTGGAATCAGGGTTTTCCAACTCCCCTAGGTGGACTTTCCGTGTCCACCGGACCAGATAAAGCGCCGGACGTTAGCTTTTCGTCCTCTCAATTTCGTAAACAACACCCCGCCACGCCACGAGAAGGCAGTGAGTAGGACTTCCCTGGCAAAGGCTATATACGCGTGGACATGTGAGAGCATTTCGAGAGGAAGAGCCGACTCTCCCCACTCTCGGCCGTACCAGGGCATTTGGGGGAGATGTTAGGATTGATCTATGTTGGTAACGATCTCCTGACAGAGTCCTTATAATTTCCGAGACAGTTCTGCTAACTGTTGATGAAGGGATTATACCAGGGCATTTGGGGTAGGAAGACAGGTTTACTAGTAGTAGTGATAAAAATAAGAAAATAACCCAAGTTCTAGTCACTAGTTCAACATAGGTGTAGTAGGTTAAAGTGGGATTAAAAAAACTTTAATAATCACAAAACATTTTTAAAAATACGTAATAAGTGTATAAATAATTAAATATTATAGAATATAAACGAGATGTGAAAAGCGACAAACAAACACAGGATGCGGAAAAAAAATTAGTAAGATCATTTATTAAGTCATATCCGGCTAAGGGAAGGGGTGGCACGAACTTCTTCTGAACCTATAAACTAGGGTTTTAGGTTCGAATGGCTACAGCTTCTGCAATATGTAGGAGACGGGATTGAAACCAATTGGGAAATGACGAATGTATAAGATAGATTACACTAAATGATCCAATTTTGTCTACCGTATACCCAATATTCATCAGGTGTGCCAAGATAGAGCTATGTATTGTCTTTGTCTGACCCTTTCCAAACCAAGCTGGGAGATGTACACTCATTTTGGTCAATTTGCCTGGTAGTACAACTAATATAGCTATTGCCACGGGAGCAGCTGAATTTTAAGATGAACATTAGGGAGACGAAATCTAGTAACTTATCCTTTCTACTAAAAAATGTCAACACAAGGTTGGCTGTATAAAATGTTCTACTAACTGGCCTAATCATTCTAACATTTGAATCCAGGTCGCGCATTTCATCATAACAGAGACTCGTCAGCTAGTTGTACCCAGGGTTAATGTTCACTCTGAGATTCGAACCCAATACTTCGTGCGTTATTCCCTTAGCTAGTGAATCCAGATATCCCCTGGCTTATGCTATGGGGTGAATCTTGATTCATTTGTATTGTTTGTTTGAATCTCCACATAGATGTTAAGGACTGTTAGCCACCATCCATCTCCGCTTATAATGTTTGAAACTCAATGGCAATATCGAGACAATCCTTTTTGATGGAGCTTTATTCTCTGAGCTGGGTAGTTTGGTCGTGGAGCTTTCATAGTTATTCTGAACGGCATCATCAGCAAAAACTTCAGGTAAAAGTGAAGAGTTGGAATTTCTCCGCACATTATACAAATGCGCCAACAAGAGACTGATCAATTGCAGTTCATAACATATTAATGAGAATATTCAAACAACCAGTAAACGGTGAACCAAATCAAGGTCCTCCAGACAATTTAATTCCATCGAAATAATCATAAGAAGATGAATTGCTCACCTCTAAAGTTGATGGCAGCAACAATTTTGAGTCGTATAAACTTGGTTCTATTGTCGATTGATTGTTATTTCGTAAAAATTGTAATAAAACATGTAGAACTGAGCTGTCACCTTGTGATAATTGATTTGTACATTTCTTATCTTGATGTTCATCAGTAGTAGGATTAGATGGAATAGCCTCAACTTCGACATATTCTAAAATAATAGAATAGAAATACACTATTAGTAATTGCTTGTATGGGTGTGATTGACTCAGTGATCTGGAAATTAAAGCTGGTTAATCACTGAGCAATGACGAATGCTATGTTTGCCTAGTCCTCTTAGCAATAATCAGATTCTACCTATCGAGTTGTAATATGGCCACTAGTCTAAATGACTGGACATCGTGTGCACTATATTGAGATATAAGGTCAATGGAATTTAATAATTGCTAAAAGACTACACAAGCACGGCAGTGATCACTACTCGGTGATCAATCACTTGTAAATATCTTATTCCTAGAATATGTTAGTCATGGCACAAAACTCTAAGTAGTAATATCTGACTGCGTAATAAGGTGACATGAAATAGAGCACCACATCCCCCAAGTTTACAGGCACACCTTAGTGACGATTAAAAAATAGCACGAAACCTATATCAAGAGTTTCTTGTCAACTACCTTCAATAATTTAATATCTCAAAATAGAAACTCACATTTCAACCTCAAGGCTACAGTTTTAGAGTTCAATTTTATAACCTTTGTCACATGCAGATAAACCCAATACAAGTTTAATTTATAGTTTAATGTAAGATTCAGTTGCTCCGATTGAATGTGAATGTGTTGACCTGTAAAGCATAACCCTATTTCAGAATTTAACGATACTACCCTCTAGTGAAGCATTATAATGATCTAATAGTTGATAATTGAGTGTTTAAACGAATGAATTATAGATATTTAGCTTTTTCATGAAATATTATGCCATGTTGCTGTTTAACTGGTAGTCAGTCGTATTTTACAAATATTTTCCATGTGGAGTCAGAGATATTAATCGAGATAAAAAGATAACCACTTTGCTATAATCAGTAGATCTAATAAATGGTTGCGATTAAGAAATTGTGCCAATAACAATGTGTCAGTATTAGATTTGAGATTTTGGACAGGAAATATACACTAAGTGACCAATGCATGATGTATACCCAGCGACAGGAATGATCATATTTGTTAATTGGACTCTAATTTAACTCGTTTTAAGCATAGGCTTATATACTTTGATTTGAGATAAACCCTACTTATATGACGGCTAACTATGCTGCAAAGCTGCTCAAATCGGTTCAGATAAAGTGAGATTCCAACATGAAAACTATTGATTGAAAGTCAGGTCTTTTAAACACTAATCCATAGCTCGAGCAAAGTGGAAGAAGTCTTGTAATGATGAACGTCAACTACTTAATTTAAAATCAATTTGAAACAAAATGAACAAATAATTACTAACTAATAAATTCATTTAGTAGTTTGTTTAAATCTTTTCATCGATGTGTTAGGACTGCAACTGGTCAGTGGCCGAGTGGATAACGCGATGGCGTTTGAAGCGAAAGGTACTGGGTTCGAGTTCCAGAGTGAACATCAACTCTGAAATGCAGGTACATCCAGCTGACGAGTCCCAAATAGGACGAAGCGCGCGTCCTGGATTCCACTGCTAGCCACTATCCATCTTTGCTTACAATTACTAACTAATATTTGATAAACCCAAATGTCACATAATTCACCATGGCGTAAACGACAGTCTTCAAGCATTATTTGTTCAACCTGGCATACTAACTATGATACTGGTGTACCAAGAACACAACGATATTATTATTTTAAAATAGATTAACAACTTCTAGCTAAAACAATACTCTATATGACTGACTATTACTACTACAACTATCACTATATAGATCCATACAGTTATAACATAATACAATGTTTCTTGTTGGAAGCAATCAATTGGAATGATTTAATTTTCAATTGTTCATTATAAGAAATTGACCAATTAAAGTTTAACATAAACAATAAACAAATAGAACTAGTTTACGGAAATGTATGGAGTTTTATTACAACTCAATAAACAAAGAACAATCGATACTTTAAACTGTTTGAAATAATAGAAAAAGAAGGAACCATTTGACTTTGAATCTTCATTTTGTGTTAAACACATGACTTTAGAAACAGATCACTTGAAACTTAAGCTAGGTTTTAATACGAACTTTTATCATAATTGGATAGTAGTTAGAAGTGATGTCAGGAAAACACGTTTCACTTTATCTAGGACTCGTCAGCTAATTGAATATACCGTCATCCCAGTGTTGATGTTTACACAAATATTAAAATTAATACTTTTCGCCTCAAGTCTCAATGGACTATCCGTTGAGCTATCAATTCAAGGTAGCCATCAACTTATTTAACAGATTTTCAGAATAACAGTATTGAATGTCAAGTTTCATTAGCTCTTTTTCACATTCATCCAAGATGCATATGGAGAAATCATGCAACACGCATTAATAACTATATTGAGCAGAAAAAAGTGTTATAGAGTTTATGAAAACTATTAAACGCCCTAGATCGACACGTAGATAACCACTTTACATTGATTTAATGAACCTGGGATGTTCCTGGATGCTATAACTATGTTATTATTATTATTATTATTATTTAAACACATAAATATTGGTACAATGAAGCACCAGATAAATATGCGCCTCACAAATCTCATTCGATTTGTGTGAGGGCTGTGATACTGCTCAGGTGCCCAGACTGAAGCAGGTAGTTTTCTTAGGGGGCCACACCACGAGCCTTTGATGTGGAGGTCTGATCCACAAGGCAGTGGAGCAACGTTAGAAGATACAGTCCCATGGTAGTCGTTGACCAATGACAGGTTCGTCCGCCATTCGTTCCATCAGGATACTGGAGCCCATGTGGCACCATTGGTTTGGAATCAGGGTTTTCCAACTCCCCTAGGTAGACCCTCCGTGTCCACCAACCCAGTTAAAGCGCCGGACATTCGCTTTTCGTCCTCTCACTTTCGTAAACAACACCCCCGCCACGAGAAGGCAGTGAGTAGGACTTCCCTGGCAGAGGCTATATATTCGCGTGGCCATGTGAGAGCATTTCGAGAGGGAGAGGTGACTCTCCCCACTCTCGGCCGTACCAGGGCATTTGGGGGCTATGTTAGGTGAAGGTTGAATAATCTTTTCAACAGAATACATTAAAACTCAAAAGGCTGGATATTCATTAGTCTTTGTCAAATGAATACGGTAAAGTTTGGCTTTACAACAAATCTGAAATCTGTAAGTAAACACAACAGGCTCCCTGACGATTTCCATAATTTCAAAGATCTACCGCTTATCGGGTTGCTATTATATATATATACATGATGATGTAACTCACTAAGTACGAATTCATGTGCTCAACTTTGAGCCACATATATGTGTAAGGGCTAGTGGTAGTACTCGGCTACCCAACCGAAGTAGATGAGGTGGAACTTTAACCTGTGATCTAGTGGTTGAAAGTTTAGTGCTTTAAGTGGAGTTTTGTTCTCTGAGCTGGATGGTTCGGTAGTGGAGCTTTTACTGTTCTTCCGAACATCAGTATAAACTTCAGATCGAAGTGAAGTGTTCAGATTTTTCCACACATGACTCACAAGACAAGATGTGATTCTTTCAATTATGTTGTTACTCTAATTTCTCTCTGTTTCCCTTCCTGTTCTCTTTAATTCAATCTCATGCTGGCAGGCATTTTACCTGCTACTACATACTACTTATATCTGTCAGCTTGAATAGCATATACCACGCTACAACCATTAGTAAGTTACATAACTACGATTAATAAAACAAGATATTCAACCTAACGACCTCTCGAACTGTTCAATTAAATAATGACAGTGTACTACTAAGTGCTAGTAAACCCAGAAGACTTCATGTCGCAGCACATGCTTTTTTTAGTTAGCTTTAGTTCCAAAAAGTAATGTTCGAGAATAGAATAACAATGTGTGTGTGTGTGTCAAAGTGCTGAAGGACTTCAATATATAAACATAAACCAATGTCCTTTAAATTACCTAAAAACCACAAAGTAAGTACGGTACAACTTAAAACATATTATAACAGGACGGAAAAGCATAAACTGTGATTAGGAAATTACAAAGTTTTTATTAGAAGAACAAAATTATAGGAGACATTTTGGCATTAAAATAATAACAACCGATTGTGCAAATATAAGATGCGATACAAACTAGTGTATAGTTACTTTTATAATTATGTGTAAAAAAACAACAGCAATACTAGTATGACAGCTAGAAAGTCTTACAGAAGAACCTTTTCCAATAGGCATTCACGAATGTCATTTACCTTTTTTCTTATCTTTTCGAGTAATAACAACTTTTGATATATGTACTATTGTTTTGTCAAGTTAATTGAAACTAGCTAAACTAAACCTTCTGATATAGCATTTAAAGACTGTTTCTTCATGGTTTATCGATAATGTTTATATTTATGAATGTTAACCGTCTACTGACTTTTTATTACACATTGTAGCTCGTTGAAGTGAAAAAAAACTTGAATTAATATGCCATTATTACAGATCCGTTCTTATGTGTTTAAATCAGTCAGTTAACCGAAGACTTTATACAAATATCTATGGCAACAAAGAATAAGGCGTATATTAACTAACCATTCTAGAATGAACAGACCGGAAATCCCAAATAGTAGCCGATTGCAATGGGAAAAGGACGAAAAGTAACTCGGATATAATGTATAACTATGTTAACAAAATACAATAACAACATATAGTCTTAGCCATTCAGCTACAACGTATGACCAGGCACATATATGCATCAGTCCAAGTTTCCACATCTCCTTAGCACAAGATGAATACCAAATTCATAGAAGTAGTTACTTCAATGGCAGTAATATGTAATAGAAAGATTGTGCATAAGGATATAATACAGGGAGAAAGAATCAGTTCGTAAAAAGAAAGGTATAAAGTAACCTTAATCTCATGGTTTAAGGAAAGACAAAGAGTGTATACACCGACGCCATTGTGATCGATTCTGAACCATGTCACTCAAGTCTCCAACCAATGGTTACGATAGTCATGCGGACCCCAACCAAGCAGTTTGCATCTACTAACATGGCTAAGACTAGAAGTTAGTAACTTCAAGCGCTGATGCCATGTTTTGGTTTGGCCGCCTCCAACTTCCTTCCAACCATCCCTAACACTAGTCATCATTGCGCGTCGTGGTAATTGGTGTTCAAGCATATGTAAGTAACACGTCTCCCAACCATATCACAGTCGATGAAGATTTACAACTTCATCAACTGATTCACCATTATTCCCTAATACCCTGCATCTAACCTCACTATTACTTACCCAGTGATCCTAGTAGATGTGAGCAATATTTCTAAGACAGCTGGGATCAAATACTGGTAACTTACGAGTACCTTCTACTCTTAATGGCCATGTTTCACAGCCGTAAAGTAGAACAGAACGAACTACTGCACAGTATACCCATCCTTTTATTTATATATGGATATCTCGCCTTTGCCATAGGTGACGTAAGGTGGCGAAAGCCAAACAAGTATTTTTGAAACATATAGTTTAACTCGCTATATCATTGAAACAAGGACAAAAACATAATATCCAATGGTTATGGATGTCAAAAAGGTTGGTTTAACCAACCAATAATATGTCGACAATCCAATTAATTTATAAGTGCTTTGAACATAATGCAAATACATGAGATTACATTATATTCAGAAGCGACGAAATATATTTGTTAAACCTCACCTTTATTGGAACTGAAATCTGATAATGTAAGCGAATGTGTATTTGAACTGCTTTTCATCCAGTTGTCTATATCAGTGTAATCTTCATGAACTGATGGAGTGCTATCAGTTTCCGGTAAACTAAGAATATCTGATTCACAGTTCTAAATAAAGATAAAATGCAACTATTTAGGTCATTAAATCGCAACGAAATAAGTGATGTGAAAATTCGATACTATTTAAACACATATTTAAGCGTCCTGTATAACATTTGAAATAGATAACCTAATGAATTAAGCACTCAATATTCAACTAATTGACAAGAAGTTCGGACCTGGTTCTGATTTATTTGCCCTGACTAACCAGCTAATACTATTATTCCTAATACAAAAGAGTAGTTTAAAGCAGAGTATATACACTTGCATGTAGTATGTGAGTTGCACTACAGTAATCTATATGAAAACTAGTTTCATTCTTAATTTTAAGATAAGCCATTAGTCATAGTATCTCATCACTATACAAGTGGATTACGTTCAAACTATTGGCTTCTATCATACTTCGTAGGTTGTTCAAAACCCGAGAACGATTGACTCGCAAGGAGCAGGCTGGATTTCGTCCTGATCGAGGATGTATTGATCATATATTCTGACCCCGCCAAACGTTAGAACACCGTGATACTTATCACAGACCAACAATCGTAGTTCCTTGACATCAGGATTGCCGTCGATACGTTGAACAGGACTGCTCTTTGGGATTATCTATTGAAGAAGGATGTGCCTGAGAAGTTTATTAACATCCTAAAAGCCCTATATACAAACACCTCAGGCAGTGTGAGGGCATGCAACCACCTCTCTCCACTGTCCCATTCAGGCAGTGGGGTTAGACAACGTTTCCCAATATCACCATTCCTCTTCAACTTTGCCATCGATTGCATTCTGGAAACAGCTCAGATAGATGTAAGTAATGGCAGTGTGGATTTGTTGCCTGGAGAAAGACATCTCGACCTTGAGCATGCGGATGATATTGCCTTACTGCGCCCAAGCCATGCAATCCACACTTAATCAGTTAGCAATCAGTGTACGCAGAAACGGCATGTGCTTTGCACCCTCCAAGTGCAAAGTACTTCTACAAGACTGGCAGGATTCTAATCCTGTACTCACCCTGGATGGTGAGCAGATCGAAGTAGTTGAGAAGTTCGTGTATCTAGGCAGCTACATAAGTGCTGGTGGGGGCGTGAGTGATGAGATTGATGCACGTATAAGGAAAGCCAGATCGGCTTATGCCAATCTGGGCCATCTTTGGCACCTTCGTGATGTTAGTCTGGCTGTAAAAGGTCGGATCTACAACGCGTCGGTGAGAGCAGTTTTCTCTATGCCTGTGAAACCTGGCCTCTCCGAGTTGAGGATGTTTGACGACTCTCCGTGTTCGATCATCGTTGTCTCCGAAGGATTGCTTACATCCAGTGGCAACACCATGTTAGTAATGCAGAGGTTCGGCATCGTGTGTTCGGGCACAGAGACGATAATTCAATTGGTGTCACCATCTTGAAACACCGACTTTGGTGGCTTGGACATGTTTTATGAATGTCGTCTCAGAGACTTCCACGTCGTGCATTATTTGCCGACCCTGGGACTGGTTGGAGAAAGCGGAGAGGAGGTCAGTGTATGACATGGTGTGGTGGCATGAAAGAAAGCTGCAAAGGGCTAGCTTCTGTTGGTCCTTCACGACTCCTTGGTTGGGGTCCGAGAGATGGTGCAACACAGTGGCTAAAGACGTTATTAAATATGGCTCAGAATAGAAGGCAGTGGCGATCCTGTTGTAACCTTCTTTTACTTTCCTCATAAAAGTGCCCGTAACTTCTTTGACTGAAAGAATTCTTTCTGATCGTATCTTTCTATTCCCCCCATTACGATTATTTTTTCACTACCATACACTAACTTGTGGTCGTTATTGTTTTTTTTATTTTGTACGCACCTAACACCATTTATCTCTCCCCATTCTCACCATTATTGTGTGGCGGAATGTATTTAGTGCCCCCTTGTACTAATATTTATGTGTTCAAATAAATAAATAAATAAGTGGAAAATAACGATTGTAGAAACAATGCAGCAGATTTATACTAATACTTGATAAGTACTGCTACTCAAAAACCATGTACGCAGTATTAATACTGAAGTGTATGGAAAAATAATTACAACCTACAAACAGGAATATAAATGATGAAGAGTATTTATACTTAAAATGGGATCAATAATTCAAGTGCCTAGATTAAATAATATACCTTTAGTGGTGTCAATCAGTCATTAACATAATCAACATTATAGACCTTCAAAACTGGAACAATTAACACATTATACCAACTAAAAACTAGTAGCCGATGGTTGTAACACATAAGTTCACAATGTGTAACACAATCAATGAACAATAGCAAGGTAAAAAGTCTAAGCATATGAATCTTCATATATCGTCATATAAATGTTTATAAATAATTGTATACATACATATATCTCTAAGATACTAGGTTTTTAGACACTTATCTGTAAACTCAACTGATTATCTTGAAATTTTATACTGCGCAACACTTCCTTTGGGAATATACTCATTCTCCAAGCATAGTTTTATAAAGGTTGCACGTGAAACAACGAGAAGCGTCCCGGATGGCAGCTTCATAATTGTTGAGACTCCACTTACAGAATTATGATGCACCAAGAGACTTTAAACCAATATGGATATTTCTCACCACATTAACTTTCACATTTCTAATCTTTTTGACTGGTCACTATAAAAGCAAACCACCATTGTTACACTAGCTGCAGAGACATTTTATATTCAATGTGCCAAATGGTCGAAACTAACGTTAAGTAAACAGCAGAATAAGTTCCTACTTTTCATATTGTGTGGGCTACTACATATACACAGGATTGAAAATAAAAAAACTGAAATGTGATAAATCATTGCCTACCTTGCAAGTAATATTAGTTTTTCCTTCCGGGAAATGTCAAATAAAAAGATGACCTGCCATCATCTTTGGTCAAATATATCAATATCTATGATAAATCTATGCATTATATAGCCAAGAGAAATAATCCTTACAATTTTCATTAGCAATCATCATTTCTGCATTGAAGATAAACCAAGAACCAAATGCAAACAAACGTATGTGTATTCTTGGAACTTATTTCACAATACATGTATTATCCATTTAATCACATACATTAATCAACCTTTTAAAAGATGTTACTAAACGACCTTTTTCAAATCTATATTACATTTTTTACGAAGTAGAACATTTAAGAATTTTCGAGTTGAGCGACCTTATTTACTAGAGCTCATAAAAAAGCTACCTGGAAATCCCTCAGAAAAGTGTAAGGATACTTCAGTTTTCTTGCCAAAGGTGACTAAACAATGATACCGTCGATACAAAATCATTTTTATCACCTCTGTTCTTTTGAACTTGTCTTTGAGTTTAGCCAGTAGTTGATGAAGGTTATAATTGCTAATGAAACAACAAGAGACAGTATATTCTTCAGTTTATACAACTTTTTTCAAATGACTACCTAGTACAATTCTTAACAACAATTCAGTATATGGAAAATAACTGCAGTTTATTATATGCCTGACAATCTGTGTTGTATGGGCAACTAGTAGGAGCATCACACAAAAACATACTTATTAATGGTAGATGAACAATGACAAATTATTGTGAAGTGAATAGATGTAAAAACGCTATCGATACCGAAATTCTTTGCTAAAACTACATCAGAAGAGAAATATTGGCTTACTTCTAAATTAGACACATCTTTAGATGATAACAACCTGAGTGTTGGTATAAACGAATGTTCCCCAACTTCTGTGCACTTTGTAGCCAAAGGAGATTTCGATTTACACTTGATACAAACGTAGCAACTCTTGCATAACCTATCAGAATAAACGCCGATTTATATGAACCAACTTACAAGCATTGAAGGAACTCATCAGACAATAAATCGCCACAACTAGCACAGACGATGAGACGGTTTGATTGTGGTTGACTTGAAGGATCGTGCTCCATTTCAGATTCAGAATTACTCAGGATATCCCATGAATCTCCCGAGTCGTTAGACAGGCATTCAATAGATTCATCCCCCATTTTGAAGACTACGGAACTTCAGTAGACTTAAGCAACATAAACCAGCTGATTAGAGATCCGTTTAACTACCCTCCTTCAAAATGCTCGATATCCAATCCCATTGTCAGTAGCTTATATAAACAAATTGATTTGTTTGCTCTCCCTTCTTGTTGTTTTCGTACGGTTCCTGGTGTTTTTTACAGTCCGATAAGTGATAGTCCAGCTACTCGACTGGTAGATTGTGATTTGTAGATTTTTATATCGTGTAATATGAGTATGATTGTCTCAGGGCATTAGGGATTCCGGACATCAGTAACTATCATAATCAGGCAGGAGGCTGGTTAGGTGTAATTTAAAAGTAATAAAGTAATAATTCGAGTGCTAATAGAAGACAATGGTTTCAAGAATAAATAAATTACTTATCTAAGCGACAATATGTGAGATGAAATTAAAATATGGGAATAGAGATTATAGGAGAGACAGACACTAGTCCTGGTGTGCAGCAATAATAAATGTGGTGAATTACCAGACATTAAAGAGACTCAGCTAGTCTCAATTGGTTTCAAATGGTTATGGATGAAATAGAATGAGCTTCTGCTTAACGGGTTCCCGTATCTAATAATAGTGGATCACCAATGCCTCCAGGTAGGGCGTCGGTTGTTCAATGAAATAATGCTCACCTGCCATTTTGGGAGGTTCGGGCTCGATCCCCAACCGATGAACACCGCCTTTACTAAACTATGCTCCATTGGGGGTAACAGGCGTAAGTAAGTAAGTAATATCCCTCCTGGTAAGAACCTAGGTATATTTAACTATCAAAAGGGGAAACGTTTTGGTAAATTATAGTAAGATACCGCCCTTAGCTCACTAGAATTTGTCGAATTTTCTCTTGAAGGACCCCCAGGAAGTCACTTGGACTAGTTCAGCCGACAGAGAACGATAGCGTTTGAATACTTCTACGTAGTAGTTAACGTAGAACTTTAGATAGTAGTTTACCAACACTCCCAGGTCTTTCTCAACGTCGGATACCTCTATAGGGAAGTTACCTAAGTTGCATTCGTAATCTATAACAAGTCTCAAATTAACTACTGTACAATTTGCAGTGCTAAAAGCAAATCCGTTGTTGTCCCCCCAACTTTGAAGTTCAGTCCCTCCTAAAGTGGCAATCTATCATGTTGGTTGCGCGCTTCACTCCAGAGTTTCACATCGTCAGCGGAAAGTGAAAAATTTGAAGATACCTCCTGAGGAAGATCGTTTATACAAATCAAGAACAAAAGAGGTCTTAGTACTGAACCCCGAAGAACCCCTCTAAGACGTTTGGGAGCCTGAGAAAAAGCGAAGTCTACCCTGACTTTAAAAACTTGATTGTTTAGATAGGAGGCAAGCCAACCAATTAACGGTGACTTGATACCTATCTGTTTGGTCTTATTGATAAGAAATATATGAGTGACCCTATTAAAAGTTTTTGACAAGTCAAGGTATATGACATCAACCTTTCCCTTGCGATCAAGGTTGGTTGTCCATCTGACCACCGTGGTCAGATGTCTGGTTATACAAGGATGACCATTCCTGAAACCCTGATGTTGGGGTGAAAAGAAGTTTACGGATAATAAGCAGTCATGTAGATCGCCGTAAGTCAAGGACTTCATATTTTAAGACGGTATTGAAAGAAGTGTTACCGGCCGGTAGCTTATAATTACATTGCGTCGGTCTTCATTGATTATTGGTGTAGTGTGAGTAAGCTCCCGATTTTCTGTAACCGTACCTCGGCTTAGCGAATGTGAGAACATTAGATTGAGCGGTTTTACTTTATCTAGTACTGAAGCCTGTCATCTCTTATTGCCTTTGTGCTTTGGCTCCTTACTTTTCTGACCTACCTGTATGTGCTATTGGTACTAGTTCGTTTATATTACACTCAGTAGTACCTTCTGCGTCTTGGCATTTGAAGATTGTGATTCGTGATGACTGTACGTTGCTTATAATATTTGGCGACCGAACTTATGACAGCCTGTTTTGTAGCACATGTGATAGTGTAGGATTTAATTTGTCTTACAGATATAATACTAGAACTGTAAACGCGACACTGACGATCCCAGAGTCTATGTGAAAGTTATAGTAATAACAAGAACAATATGCCTCTGAATTCTATTTGCTTCCAAACATAAAAAATTAGATTAGTACAATAATTACAATAAATGCAATCAGTAAGTGAAACGCACAAACATATAGACCAGTATTGTGTGTCTTATTGAAATGAACAAAAATTATGAATCAAAATGATATAATAGGATAACAATGTCCTTCAATTGGTAGGTCACATGCAACAGGGATAGTTTACAGACACACCAGACCAGATTGATGTGGTGCGCGCTTTAACAACGATTTGATTGGTTATTTATGGACGTAACTAACATTCCCTCCCATATGAGCACAACATCCAGGTCTCGCTACTGTCGCGCCCAAATAATTGATCACCTCCAATTGTCACAGGTTCCATATACCCCGGCTGGTCTCCTCGGTGGCTGTCTCCAGTCGAACTGTGCTGATTCGTCCATCAAGACCATGATTGACCTGTGTAACTATAGCTTTTGGCCACAGATCTCTCGGCGAGCCAGCATTGTCTACTAACATTAAATCTCCCGGTTGTAAATTTCTTCTCGTGTCTAACCACTTGGATCTCGCCTGAAGGTTTGATAGGTACTCCCGCAGTCATCTGTTCCAGAGTACGTTACGTAGTTGTTGTGCTTCCTTCCATCTCCTGTTATATAAGCACATTTTATTCATTTGTGCTTCATCGAATGATATGAATTAACAATACTTTATTTGGCGTAGGTAAATCCAGATTATCACGGTCATTGACTAGCTTTACGAGTGGTTGATTGTTCAGTATTCCTTCAACCTCTTTTTAAAATGTCTCCGAAGATTGATTCGTCAGTACCTTCTGAAACAGTAGAGATTGTAGAATTCTTCTTACTAACTTTATGATGCGTCCCCATACACTACCTCGATGACTAGCTCTAGGAAGGTTAAAGCGCCATTCACAACCTCTCTCTAAAAGGCATTTGCTATCTTATTCTGGTCCCAACTGCACATTATCTGTCTAAGACCAGCATTAACTTCTTTAAAGCTACCAGATGCACCCTTACTCTTATTCCCAACTCGTACAAATGCACCTTTCTCAACACTATGTACGATACTACGGTGAATATGTGCGGCCTGTTTCTACGGCCTCTTAGTTACAAGGCCTTTGGTTTTTTCGGTGTCTTGACTTTCGGTTTGATGACCTTCATTTTCCAAATCTTTATTAGATTTGATTTGGGATCATTATCAGATGTTGTTACAGTTTTCGGCTAAGCAAACTTGGGTTTAGAGTGGACAGTTTTATTTTCTGATACTTTTCTCTGTACATGCTCAGCCCTTTCCTCAGTGAATAGTTGGGTATTGATGTAGGTATTACTAGTACTGTCTCTCTGCTCTTCCCGCTTCCTATGTAACAAGGTGTCATGTCTCCAGCCACATCCTACGACAGTACGTGACCTCGGTGCTAGACAATTTCTTGCCTTATGGTTCGCCTTGAGACAAACATTACACAACTTCTTCAATACAAACTTTATCTTTGTATTAATATCCTTATCTCTAAACCTTCCACATTGGTCTAAGGGATGGTTTTCGGTACATTGTAAACATGACAACCCAAAAGTCCTTGGCCTTACGTTTGAAGGGGCATCGCGCTCACTCATGCTGGTGAACAAAACTCTTGCCTTATAGTCCGGACTAAGGTGTCCTTTAGAAACAACAACCGACTGTTTTGATTGCGATTAGAAGGATCTCCACTGACAATTAACCCATATCTGGTATTAGCAATGTCTGATTGCTTCTTCACAAATTCGTAAAGGTCATTAAGTGAAGGCTTTCTACACGTCTTAAGGATTATACATGCCACTTTAACTCATTCTCTTTGTAAGTTTGGTGGGAGTTTCGAAATCATATACTCGATAGTCTTCGTAGAGTTCAGATTGGATACATAGTTCATCTGAGTGAGTGTTAGCTCACAAATATGTATCTTGGGAGACAACCTTTTCAAGTTATCTGGAATAGTCCCCTTAATAGTTGAGATGTTCAGCATCTTGTCAATAAATGCATGGGCTACTATGTGCTAATGACTGATCTCAGTCCAACTACTGTAGAGTAACCTGTAAAACTGACCTATCCAATAGTTTGTTGTTGTTATTAGAGTGTTTTAGCTCAGTTTTGCTGATAAAATCGATGGCTAAGATGGCATGATCACTTTTACCCTGAGGAGACACAACCGAGAGGTTATCAATTGGGAATTCGTCGTTTGTGAATGTGAAACCTAAGCTTGACGGCGTCTGACTGTTTCATGTAAAATCAAAAGGCCTGTCAGATGCTTCGAGAATGGCAACCGCCATGTGGATGCTAGGAAGGATATTTTCATTAGCCGAGGTCTAGGACCCCCGTCGTTTTTGGTTAATTGAATCACTTATCTAGTCACTACGCTAATAAGCTCGAACGATGACTTTACGAATTTCCACTCTAGAATATCATATTCCGAATAATCAGGGTCCATGTTTTCTGAGATGCTTCGCGCAGCGATGTTTCTTCCGCGAGAAAACGTTGTGGAAGATTCCTTTGGGATATTCCTAATGGCGTTGGTTATGATATAAATCATATAAATCCTAAGGTCATATTAAAAATTATTAGTTATTCTGTTCGACTGTAGGTTAATGTGTTACCATAAGCGCCATGTATGAGAGACCCGCTACACGTTTTAAGGTCACATGGTTTTCAGGAAAATCAATAAAGTATCGAGTATAAATCAACGTAAAAGTACTAATCGATCTCTTCCTGGGAGCTTCGGCCGTCTTCAGTATCTACAGAATTTGATTGGCGAATATCAGCAAACTTCAGTAGCCGAACACAAGGAACAGGTTTGTACCTGTTCGTTTTTATTGCTCAGATTTTAGCCAACCTCGCTAATTTCTGCTACGACTCTCGAAACGGCCCACAGCTTCGTCAACTGCGTGTCATTGATCTCTTTTTTGACTGCATCTTAGAACCATCAAGTGCGTGGTTCAAAACTGGTAGGTTGAATTATATATATATATATATATATATATATATATATATATATATATATATATATATATATATAGGCCTTTAATGGTATACATCTTTTTTCTGGGTTCGCCTTTACATTATTTTTACCCAGTCCATTCTTTACCTTTATTTTTCTGGTAATAACACGGGCCTTTTAGTGTTTCAGTTGAGACTATAATTTACGACCTTTGAACAACGCGTAAGTGACTTTAAGCATGTACACTTACTATCTAGGACTAAATAAGGGTTACTAATCAATGAGCAGTTGGATTTAGGGTTTTCATGATGAACAGCTAAATTTCCAAAACGCTATTTGGCCAAATAAATGGATGGATTGCACGCCAAAATCAACACGTTATCTTATCTTCTTGGTTCATCCATGAATTACAGTCTCGTCGTGTTTTTGTTGATGTTTCCAATATTGTGGATGGACAAAGGCATGCAGGATAAGCTAAACCAAGCATATGTGTATTTTTATTTGTTAATTACATAGTCAAGTACTACTTCGTGTCAACCCAAGATGAGGTAGCCAGGGTATGGTTCTATTTTTGTTATCATATATTTCATAACAAAAATATGCCAATGGCCTTATAAAACACACATTCGGTCGCATCACTATTTTTGTATGCAGTCTTTAACGCTACATTTTGAAATTAATTCTCATCTGCCTACACACTCACGTTTGACTAATTTGTCACAAAAGTCCTGTTCAAATTTCTGACAATGTGACTTTTCCTTTTATCGCTATTGCCTATTCTGGTCATACCTGTTAGCTAGCGTGAATTGCAATATCATGTTCAAAACACTTGTTACTCCTTGCATCATTTTTAGCCCTCCTATTCCGTCTTTCGACTTATCATGGTCTTGCTGCTTTAAAATGTGATATATCAAATGTCTTAATATAAGCTAAATTGAAGGAATATTCCACTTTAAAGTGGCATATATTGGGGGAAAAGCGCCCAACTTTTTCTGATGAAATCTCTATACAGATTCAGAAAGCTCGTATTTTGGGTTGGTCCGGGTCAATGTTAAACAAATGTTAGGAGGCAATTTACCGCATACTCTACTTATCTGAGAATACTCATTAGCCCTAATGAATTAATGCTTGGTGAAATATCAGCACCAATTCAGAAAGCTTATTTGGACCCGGGAACCTATATCATTGGTAGCATAAATAGAATGTGCGTCTAACAGCCAAAAGTTGAGCATACAGCTCAGCAGTCCACTATTATTATTATGTTGCTCTGAAACAGCTTTTGAAAATAGAAGACATTTATAAACTACTGGTATTTTCTTCATGAAAGTTCTTTGAGCGTTGTATTGCATATAGTGGGACCATGAAGTTAGCCATGTTAAGGTTAGATGCAGGATGCTAGGTATGTATGACAAACCGGTTTTTAAGATAGTAAATCTCTGTTGAATGTGGCTATTTGGACATCTGTTACGTATGCCCAACCACCGTCTATCTCGACCCGGGATGTTTGTTGGCGTAGGGGTAGGTTGGGTAAAAGCTTGGAGCGTTTAAACCTAGCACAGCATCAGTCTGCAAAGTCATTAGCTATTGGCCTATCGTAATAAACCAATCGATCTATACTGGCCGGAACAGTCGTTCCTCAAGGTTCTCCCATGCCAGACAGGTTGATTGAAGAGCGGTAAGACTAAAAGCAGCAAACCTAAGGTCTGAGGGCGAAGTCGTACTGCTGAATGTGCAGAGGTGTGACGGCATTAAGATGTTTCCTTCAGGCAACCAGCATAACAGCGATACCGCCTTCCCACAAGGAAGGGTGAGGATAGAAAAGGTTGACCCTAAAAATGCACACCTCACCTTATCCCACGGATTCCCGTCTCTGGCGGTAAGGTTCCAACAAGTTCTGAGCTAACACGAAAACTCACAAAAATGGTCGTGTGTGACCGACCTCAAGCACTTGTCCCTTGGGCACTATAGTCACGCTCTCAGGTCACTAAGACCACCTTTAACTCAATTTCCTTTTCGGGTACCTCTAGACGAAACCTTCCACGGTGTGGGCAACCAGGAAATGATAGCCACCCTTATACCTCTAACAGCACTCAAGATCACTGTATTCATAATCAATCTCCCTCTTCAATTTCTATTATTCCTCATACCTCAGCTTTAAACCCTAAACTTCCTCTTTTGGCTTCCTCCTCGTGTCACCATAGCCAACGATTCTAGTCTACTGAAACCTCTCTCCAAACTACACATTGGAGCCTTCAACGTTTGCACCCTATGTCAATCGGCCAACAGACCTCCTTGGCTAAAACCCTATAATCTCGTGTCATTGATGTATGCTACATCTCCGAAACACACATACAATATCTTAAGGCGGTCGTTCACTTGACCTTACCACGCCAAAACGGAGAACCGACAAGATATACCCTCCGTGTATATGGCGGCCCGATGGCTAGTTCTTGTAGACTGGAGGGTGTAGGTATAGCACTAAGTACGAGGGCAAAACAAGAACTATTAGAATGGATCCTTGTTAACAGTCGCCTATATGCTGTTCGGCTAAACAGGTCCGTAAGAACTCGGAAGAATAAGGACACACGTCGTTGTCTTTTCGTCATTTCTGCCTACACTTCCACTGAACGCGACCCGGATAAAGTAGAAGATGACTTTTACAGAAAGCTTTCTGAACTTCTTCACAAAGTTAAACGCTCGGACATAGTACTCGTAGCAGGTGACTTTAGTGCCCAAGTAGGTAGCTTAAATCAAACAGAAAGACATCTAGGTGGGTATTTTAGTATTCCAACTCAGCGAACACATAATGGTGATCGTCTGCTGCAACTGCGTTCAGACAATCGTTTATTTTCAGCAAGCACTAATTTTAAGCATAAGGAGAGACATCGTCTAACATGGAGATCCCCTGGACCAAACCAACGATACACTCAAATAGAGCATATTCCTATCAGTCATCGTTGGAGAGGCTGAATAGAAGACCGCCGCTCATTCTGGAGTACATGTTTAGACTCTGACCATGCTGTAATACGAGCACGAATTTGTTTGCGTCTCACTGGATGCAGAAAAACCACATTAAGTAGACCCACTATAACTGAACTCAGTGACGAAACAGCCAAAACGATCAAAATTACCTTGTGGTAACCATAGAGGGATTAGTTTGACCAATATAGCATCTAAAATACTAGCCTCAATAACTATCGGACGTATAACAAAGACTCGTGAACTACTAATACAAGAAAAATAGGCTGGCTTCAGGCCTGGTTGTGGCTGCATCGACCACATATCCACCATTTGTCAGGTTTTAGAACACAGGCATGCTTATCTGCGTCCCACAATGATAGTTTCTCTTGACTTAAAAGTGGTATTGGACTCTGTAGACCGAGAGGTTCTGTGGCAGTGTTTGTCATTGAAAGGTGTACCTCAGAAGTACATAAACCTTGTAAAGGCTGTCTACTCGAATACTATCAGTCGAGTCAGAGCTTATGGCAAATTGTCATCTGATTCTGAAACCTTTAGGTGGTGTCCAACAAGGCTGACCACTATCTTCATTTCTGTTTAATTTCATTATAGACCTAGTGCTGGAAATAACGTTCTCGTTGACTGGATATTCAGGAATTGATCTCCTTCTGAGAGGTCAAATGACGCTGATAAAATGCAGTGTTTTGGTAGCACTGACCAACAATACTAGGATGTTTGAGATGCGTTTCTTCACCTCTAAATACAGGTTGTTGCTCCAGGACTGGCCTGCATCAACACCTGAACTAAGGATAGGGAGTGAAGTAGTCGAACGCATTGACAACTTCACTTATCTTGGAAGTCTGATCAGTCCTAATGGGTCGGTGTCTGACGAAATCTCAGCACGGATTCAAAAATCTCGTTTGGCTTTTGCCACCTTACGTCACCTATGGCAAAGGCGAGATATCCATATATAAATAAAAGGATGGGTATATTGTGCAGTAGTTCGTTCTGTTCTACTTTACGGCTGTGAAACATGGCCATTAAGAGTAGAAGATACTCGTAAGTTACCAGTATTTGATCCCAGCTGTCTTAGAATTATTGCTCACATCTACTAGGATCACTGGGTAAGTAATAGTGAGGTTAGATGCAGGGTATTAGGGAATAATGGTGAATCAGTTGATGAAGTTGTAAATCTTCATCGACTGTGATATGGTTGGGAGACGTGTTACTTACATATGCTTGAACACCAATTACCACGACGCGCAATGATGACTAGTGTTAGGGATGGTTGGAAGGAAGTTGGAGGCGGCCAAACCAAAGCAGTTGGCAATCAGTGTACGCAGAAACGGCATGTGCTTTGCACCCTCCTAGTGCAAAGTACTTCGACGAGACTGGCAGAATTCTAATCCTGCACTCACCCTGGATGGTGAGCAGATTGAAGTAGTTGAGAAGTTCGTGTATCTAGGCAGCTACATAAGTGCTGGTGGGGGCGTGAGTGATGAGATCGATGCACGTATAATGAAAGCCGGAGCAGCTTATGCCAATCTGGGCCATCTTTGGTGCCTTCGTGATGTTAGTCTGGCTGTAAAAGGTCGGATCTACAACGCGTCGGTGAGAGCAGTTTTCTCTATGCCTGTGAAACCTGGCCTCTCCGAGTTGAGGATGTTTGACGACTCTCCGTGTTCGATCATCGTTGTCTCCGAAGGATTGCTTACATCCAGTGGCATTACCATGTTAGTAATGCAGAGGTTCGACATCGTGTGTTCGGGCGCAGAGACGACAGTTCAATTGGTGTCACAATTTTGAAACACCGACTTTGGTGGCTTGGACATGTTCTACGAATGTCGTCCCAGAGAACTCCTCGTCGTGCATTATTTGCCGACTCTGGGACTGGTTGGAAAAAGCGGAGAGGAGGTCAGTGTATGACATGGTGTCGTGGCATGAAAGAAAGTTGCAAAGAGCTAGCTTCTGTTGGTCCTTCACGACTCCCTGGCTGGGATCCGAGATATGGTGCAACACAGTGGCTAAAGACGTTATTAAATATGGCTCAGAATAGAAGGCAGTGGCTATCCTGTTGTAACCTTCTTTTACTTTCTTCATAAAGAGTGGTTCTAACTTTCTTAACTGAAGGAGTCTTATGGTTGTACATTTCAGTCTCCTTATCTTTTCATCCATTCTCTTCCTACTTTCATTATTTTGTGTGGCGCATATGTATCTGGTGCCCTTTTGTACCAATATGTATGTGTTTTAATAATAAAAATAAAAATGTTGCTTATGACTGACCAACTTTCCATTAAGGACTATTCATTCAGTAGGTCCATAGTGTTCAACTGAATAGGAGAAATAATCTGTATTACTAGAAATGTATTGTAGTAATCTTTGCACATGCGAACGTCAGATGGTTCTTATCATTTAGCTAACATTCACTAGTAATAAACATACATTACTCTAGAACTTGAGTATTCTCATTTTGAAGGAACATTAGCATTCAAATAATTCAAATAGAATTCGTTTTATTTTACTGTCATATTTTTGTATTCCAGCCTTTCAATCCGGATCAAATTTGAAAGTTGATGTAGGCGAAGCTCGTCTAGCTGAATTCGCCCTTGGAGGTTTATCTAATCTTTCAGCTTCATCGCCTCTAAGTCGTCAAGAAATTCTCGATCACATACACTTACCGTGTATTGTGGCTTGTGCTACATCTCCAGACTCCACAGTTGTTGTACATTCACTGACTATTATCGTACACTTGTTTACTCGTTGTCCGAATTCAGATTTCATTTCTTTGGGTTCGAGATTTCCTGCTATAATCCAAATAGCCCGTCAGTATTGTGAGTCACGTAATCGGCAGACAGACATTGATCCTCGTATTCCGATTTTATCCCAAATCATACTGGAAGACTGTTGTAATTGCAGTTTTTCTCACGAAAACGTTTCATCCAAATGTTCTTCTTAAAGAAATTTCGATGCTCACAAATCACATTATTTCTTAATTCCCATCAATCCCTATCTCTATGTTCACCTACAACATTTTTAGTGCATTCTTATTGTCAGCTGCCCTTAGCTGTTTTACCTGAAATCCGCAAGAGGAATTTAAATGAGAAATTACTATCGACTTGTTCTCAACCTAAGGTAACTTTAGTCAGTAATATATATATATATATATATATATATGTATATATATATATAAGTTATCTTGTTTTACATGTATCTGATGGTAACTTTTTAAAATATCAAATCCAAACAGGTTTTTCATACTTATTAATCTTTAGGATATGTGATCTAAAACCCAGATATTGGGCATTGAATCTTGACTGAGTTTCACTTAATAGCTGCAACGCTGTCTTGTTTTAAGTATATCTCAATAACTTTGGCTTCATTGACTTTCAGAAAATTAAGCTATTATTACAATGATGTGTAGTCGAAAGTTCGAAGTTTTATCAGAGTTTAGTTTGTAAGGTGGATGAGTTTTTTCAAGAATCGATGTCTACACTTAATCTTTTGGGTTATCTTGAAAAAACACTGATTGTGACCCTATGCTTCAGAAAAAATCTCGAAAATAGACAATGGAAGATCTCATTCGTTCTTCCGAATAATCGCCTCTCAAGCTTTTTTGTACTGGTAATAGCATACAATGTTCAAGGTGGTATCAGACTGTATTCTAAATCGTTTAAAATTAAAAATATCACCTGGTAAAGTTTGACTTATTGGCTAACTACAACCTACTGGATGTGAACGTTGGGAGTAATTCCTCTTCAAATAAATGACTAGTCACGTCCGTAGCTACTACATTACTGAAGTGGGAACTTGCTCATTGTAATTCATTTTGTGGTTGGCTTTGAGCAAGTACCCGTTAGGCTCTGTTGTTAGGTTCTCAAGTCAAAGTTTTTAATACTAATTCTAATTCATTTCAGGTTTTCTTAAAAAGAAACAACCCTTCAGAGTATCGGCAATGGAAAAGCGTCGATTGCTCATGTACTTGTGCCTATTTCTCTCACTATGAATTCTAGTCATATCCAATGTTTTGTGTTATCGACTTCTTTTTTCTGGGAACATCTCTCCCCTTATGAAGCTGTTGTTTACAAATGGAGCTCTCAAAAACGGTTTCTTTGGTTTTATTAACCTATTCCTAACTGGCTGTTCAATCCTTCAGTGTTCCAACCACAGATCAAGTTAAACAACAGGTCTCACTAGTCAGAATTCTGTTCCATAAATGTATATCTTGTTTCTAAAACACTCACACAAAATCTAAATTTGACCGTTCACTCGACCTCATGTAGTTAATGGATTAGGTTTGGATTTCTTCTTCTATGTGTTTGAAAATGCGATGATAACATACAGAAATTAATTTTACGTTCCACACTATTATGATCCATTCATCGACAGTTAGCAGAGCTGTCTCGGAAATTATAAGTAATCTGTCAGGAGATCGTTACCAATATAGATCAATCCTAACATCAATAATCACATGATTTGCACTGATAACTATAACAACTTTTAAACATTGTTCAGCCTAACATTACGTTTTGTTCCCAGTATTTTTATCTATACTAATTATTCAAAAGAATTTCAATGTATATTTGAATAGTTTGAAGAGAAAAACGAAGTTGATCCAGCATTAATGATATGTCTGTCTATCAACTAAGGGATGAGTATATTGCACAGCGGTTTTCTATGTACTAATCTACAGCCACGAAAAGTGGTTTTTAGAAGAAGACAAACGTATACGGCAAGTATTTTGTCATAGTTGTCCGTGAAATATTTTTTACCTATCGCAAAAAATGGAGTCAGCAATGCTGAGGTTGGAAGTAGGATATTAAGTAAAGATGATAAATCGATTAGTAATGCTGTGAATCTTTATTGATTTAAGTGGCTGAGAAAAGTGCGTAACGTATACACAACTACCATCTACCTATACTCTCGATGTTTTCTGAGATATAAGTAGGTTGAAAGAAATCTAGAGGTAATCAGATTACGACATAAAATCAACCCATAGAACCATTGACTACTGGTTTGAGATATATCATTAGGTGCAAAATCCTTGTTTAGGGCCTCTACAATACTCATGGCCAATGATGTTGGATAACGTAGTCTGAACGAGGCCTCAGTTGCATTTATTATGTGTCTTCCTCGAAATTCAGAATTTAGTGTCATTCTTCGACCGTTCATATTGGGATTAATTCTCTTTTGCTTTCAATCACTAGCTTTTTTATGTGGTGTGGCAAATCGAACCTACATGTATTCATGCCACAATTCCCACGTTGATAATGATTGAGGTACATCAATATGTATACTATAGTATGTCTATTATAGTGTTGAAATACCATTTATTAAATCAATAATATGCTAGAAATCTTGTGATTTTTATAACCATAAAGCATCTTGTTTTACACTGAGCATAGTTTGTGAATGTCACATAACTACTGAACAAATCTTCCTAGTTCTTATGTCATCAGTTTACTTTTAAATTTTTAATTACCACTATGCTTTAATGTATCTCCATTATTCTAGAGTGATAAACTTGATCTGAATTCACAGTCTGAACCACCGCCATATCAGTTACCTGGTTCATCAGTTGACCAAAGTAAGTAGTACCGAAAAAATACAATTTGAAAATTTTAAATCCGCTTAATTCATGTCTATTTTAGCACTCCATTGATCACTTAATGACGTTTAACGGATTACATATCAAGGAAATTTTAGTGATCGTCGATTTTATTATGTTCCTCGCTTATAACGAAACTAGTCAAGGCGTAGGATCTAGGAGAAATATAACTCATTTGTCAACTACAGGCCTACATCCTCCGCTTCCACCACGATTCATGTGGTACCTTGTGACATTCAGCTTAACACGTTAAGGTGAATCGGAGATTGAACCCGTAGCGTCTGTCATTTAAAGTCGTATTACACATTATTACATCAAGGTAAATCAAATAAGTTGAAAGAATAGTACTATCAGTAAAAGTAAAAAAGAATTAAACGTTTAAAAGAAACTGATAAAATATGCTAGCGAATAACATGAAATAATGTAAAAAGCCTTACAACTATCTCGTGAACCCTAACCAACAGATCTGCGCCCTCTGATATGACTCGTTCCAACACTCCTTTAGCGTAACACAGAAAATGCAGACTTTCTAGACTATATAAGACTATACAACATATATAGTCATAATTTATCTGCTGAAACAACTAGCTTCTTACAATCTTGGCGTTCGTTCAGACATTGATAATTTTTAAATCTAGTTAAACCTGATTGTTTCAAATACATTTACAATAGCATTGTAAGCTGTTTCTCATTCTGTATCTGTCTGTTTCCCATTTTCACCTCAACTTTTGCTTACTGCCATAAATACTATTGGTATTTATGCAATTTATTTCCTGTTTTTTGGTACCTCTATTCCTACAATGTTGAAGTTAAATATTTATTAATTTAAACACAAATATTGGTACAAAGGGGCACCAGATATATATGCGCCATACAAATCTCATTTGATTTGTGTGAGGACTGTGATACTGGCCGGGTGTTCACACCGAAACAGGTGGTTTTCTTAAGGGGCCACACCCGGAGCCTTCAACCGAAAGGTCTGATCCACAGGGCAGTGGGCATCGTGAGGAGACACACTCCCATGGTAGCCGGTGACTGACAATTGATTCACACGCCATTTGTTCCATCAGGATGCTGAAGCCCATGTGCATCATTGGTTTGGAATCAGGGTTTTCCAACTGCCCTAGGTGAACTTTCCATGTCCACCAACCCGGTTAAAGCGCCGGACATTCGTTTTTCGTCCTCTCAATTTCGTAAACAACAGTAATGCCACGAGAAGACAGTGAGTAGGACTTCTCTGTCATAGGCTATATACGCGTAGCTATGTGCGAGTATTTGGAGAGGGAGAGCGGACTCTCCCCACTCTCGGTCGTACCAGGGCATTTGGGGGCAATTTCATCTCGGCGAGGCCTCATGAAATTGCCCCCAAAGTCGAAGTATTTTATATTGGTTCAGCATATACTATTATACCATGTTTTATATTGTGTCTGTCTTTCCTGGAGCTCAATCTTAGTATTTATTTATTTATTTAAACACATAAATAGTAATATCATTAGTAGTATTAGTATTGGTACCTCTATTCCTACAATGTCGAAGTTAAATATTTATTAATTTAAACACAAATATTGGTACAAAGGGGCACTCCCAGCAAGCGGATTTGCCCCCAAATGCCCTGGTACGGCCGAGAGTGGGGAGAGTCTACTCTCCCTCTCGAAATGCTCTCATATGGCCAGCGAATATATAGCCTCTGCCAGGGAAGTCCTACTCACTGCCTTCTCGTGGCGGGGGTGTTGTTTACGAAAGTGAGAGGACGAAAAGCGAATGTCCGGCGCTATAACCGGATTGGTGGACACGGAGGGTCCTCCTAGGGCAGTTGGAAAACCCTGATTCCAAACCAATGGTGCACATGGGCTCCAGTATCCTGATGGAACGAATGGCGGAAGAACCTGTCATTGGTCAACGGCTACCATGGGACTGCATCTCCTCACGATGCTCCACTGCCTTGTGGATCAGACCTTTAGGTCAAAGGCTCGGGGTGTGGTCCCCTAAGAAAACCACCTGCTTCGGTTTGTGCACCCGGCCAGTATCACAGCCCACACACAATTGAGTGAAATGATGAACTCTGTTGACGATTCTATTCCTGCTCATATTATAAGCAAGACAATTTACATTATTATTATTATTATTATTATTATTATTATTATTATTATTATTATTATTATTATTATTGTTATTATTACTTACCATATCGCTAATTCACCCCCTTTTATCCCCAATTTGTGTAACCTTACTCTTCAACTTATGCAGCAGCTCGCTCTTGGTGGAAAATCTGTCCTATCTAAACGATCTCCAGTCACTGTCTGGTTGAAAGTGAATGCTTCCACCGATTATGAATACTGAGGCAGTCTTTCTGAAACCACGTACGCCGTTCAAGCTGGCTTCCTTCAACGTTCGCACACTAATGCAGATCAGACAACAGATAGGGCTGGCTATGTCTTTGGAAGGTATTAATGTTGACGTTTGTTGTCTATCCGAGACCCGTATTCAAGACTCTAGTGAAGTACTACAAATCCGCTCTCCATCTGTCGCCTCGAAAAGCTTGTTCCACGTGCGCTTATCCGGGGACCCTGTGGCATCTTCGTCTGGTCTTGCTGGCGTTGGCGTCGCACTAAGCGCTAGGGCTGAGGCAGCACTAATCGATTGGATCCCCATTAACAGTCGGTTATGTGCTGTTAGATTAGAAAGTTCCATCAAAGTGAGAAGAAACCGGCGTGAGAAACGGTGTCTTTTCGTCATCTCCGCCTATGCTCCGACAGATTGCAGCCCGGATGCAATCAAGGATGAGTTTTACCATCAGTTAACAGTTCTTCTCCAGAAAGCGCGTTCGACAGATATTGTAGTACTAGCCGGAGACTTGAATGCACAGGTCGGGCATCTAGGCATAGAAGAGAGTCGTCTAGGTGGCCGATGGGGACTTGTTGGTCCCAGGACAGATAACAGGGACCGTTTGCTGCAACTGTGCACAGACCACAACCTGTTTCTGGCCAGCACCAACTTCCGGCACAGTCATCGCCGGTGTGCCACCTGGCGTCCTCCCTCTGCATCCCAAGCCTGGACTCAGATTGATCACATCGCGATCAGCTACCGCTGGCGTGGTTGTGTACAAGACTGCCGCTCCTTTTGGAGTACCTATCTGGAGTCTGATCATGCCCTGGTCTGCGCCAATCTCACCTTACTTTTCAGTGGCCGAAGGATTGACCACCACCAACGGATTGATATTAGTAAACTGGCTGCAACTCCTGTTGCAAGTAAGTATCGAGCGGAGCTAGCCTCTAGGCTAGCTACCATCCCACCGAAAAGTATAGATGAGCATTGGTTGCATCTTCACGACGCCATGAAAATGGCGAGTAAAGTCGCTTGCGGCTTCGCGAAACGTCCCGCTTACAAGCACTGGGTCTCTTCTGGCTCCTTACAACTGATCGAAGCCCGTCGGTCTACTCCGGGTGACCGTGAGTTTGACCACAAACGAAGGCTGTTACGTAATGAAATTGGGCAAAGCTTGCGTAAGGACCGGGAAACCTGGTGGTCGGAGCGTGCTAATGAGATGGAAGCAGCAGCTGCATCTGGTAACTGCCGGAAGCTCAATAGTCGTCCCTCTCTTTAAAAAGGGTTCGCGTTGTTCCTGCAATAACTATCGGGGGATAAGTCTACTTCCGATTGCGTCCAAACTATTGGCTTCTATCATTCTTCGTAGGTTGTTTAAAACCCGAGAACGATTGACTCGCGAGGAGCAGGCTGGTTTTCGTTCTGGTCGAGGATGCATTAATCACATCTTCACCCTCCGCCAAATGTTAGAACACCGTCATACTTATCGCAGGCCAACAATCGTAGTGTTTCTTGATATCAGGGTGGCCTTCGATTCGTTGGACAGGACTGTTCTCTGGGATTGTCTATTGAAGAAGGGTGTGCCTGAGAAGTTCATTAACATCTTAAAGGCCCTGTACACGAACACCTCAGGCAGAGTGAGGGCATACAACCACCTTTCTCCCTTGTTCCATTCGAGCAGTGGGGTTAGGCTGGGTTGCCCGATCTCACCATTCCTCTTCAACTTTGCCATCGACGACATCCTAGAAACAGCTCTGGTGGATGTAAGTAATGGCGGTGTGGATATGTTGCCTGGAGAACGACTTCTCGACCTTGAGTATGCGGATGATATTGTCTTACTGTGCGATAATGCCCAAGGCATGCAATCAGCACTTAATCAGTTGGCAATCAGTGTCCGCAGGTACGGCATGTGCTTTGCACCCTCCAAGTGCAAAGTACTTCTACAAGACTGGCAGGATTCTAATCCTGTACTCACCCTGGATGGTGAGCAGATCGAAGTAGTTGAGAAGTTCGTGTATCTAGGCAGCTACATAAGTGCTGGTGGGGGCGTGAGTGATGAGATTGATGCACGTATAAGGAAAGCCAGATCGGCTTATGCCAATCTGGGCCATCTTTGGCACCTTCGTGATGTTAGTCTGGCTGTAAAAGGTCGGATCTACAACGCGTCGGTGAGAGCAGTTTTCTCTATGCCTGTGAAACCTGGCCTCTCCGAGTTGAGGATGTTTGACGACTCTCCGTGTTCGATCATCGTTGTCTCCGAAGGATTGCTTACATCCAGTGGCAACACCATGTTAGTAATGCAGAGGTTCGGCATCGTGTGTTCGGGCACAGAGACGATAATTCAATTGGTGTCACCATCTTGAAACACCGACTTTGGTGGCTTGGACATGTTTTATGAATGTCGTCTCAGAGACTTCCACGTCGTGCATTATTTGCCGACCCTGGGACTGGTTGGAGAAAGCGGAGAGGAGGTCAGTGTATGACATGGTGTGGTGGCATGAAAGAAAGCTGCAAAGGGCTAGCTTCTGTTGGTCCTTCACGACTCCTTGGTTGGGGTCCGAGAGATGGTGCAACACAGTGGCTAGAGACGTTATCAGATATGGCTCAGAATCGTAGCCAGTGGCGATCCTGCTGCAACCTTCTTTTACTTTCTACATAAAGTATGGTTCTTACTTTCCTATTTGAAAGAGTCTTCTGGTTGTACATTTTAGTCCGCCTTATCTTTTCATCCATTCTCTTCCTACTTTCATTATTTTGTGTGGCGCATATGTACCTGGTGCCCTTTTGTACCAATATATATATGTTTAAATAAATTAAATAAATAAAAAAATTAGTATTGGCTGATGATTTGTGTGTCTAATCAAAATTATAATTGTTCAAGGTTTGTTTTATATTAAAAGAAACACCAATGTTTTTGGTAATGTATATTTGTTTACCGGCAGATACAAGTGCTGTTGATATAGAATGTGAAAATCACTCTTACACATCTGAAAAATCCCAATTATTTGGAAGTACTTCAGTTAATAAATGGGCTCCTAATCCTCTAGTAACATCGTCATCGTCATCATCATTCTCACCATCAACATCATGTCCAACTACAATAGATCTGGTTTTAACTCAACCACCTGCTGTCCTACTTTTCAAACATTACGCATCAATTGCTGCAGGTCTTTCAAAGGCTCGTCTTACAGGTTTAGTTGTTTCAACTGCTTTAGTCGGTTGTGGCTTAGCAGCATCTACTAGTATGGTATCACCTGAATTCCTGGAAAATTGTTATTCGACTGTAATTTGTTTAGCTCTTGGAACTACACTAACCAGTTCTGCTGCAAATACAATCAACCAAGTAAGATTTATTTAGTTAAATTCTTTTGCGTTCTTAGTAAAAGATCAAAATTTTGTTTTATGTTTTTAAGTGCTTAAATCTTAGTATTAAATTTGTAAGATACACTGATGTCAAGTTTGCCCCGTTCGAGCAAATCGATTCAGATTTTTACATGATGGAATTAGAGAAATAAGGGAAATCGAAGTAATTATCCTATTAACTTCATCGGAAAAGTATCTAAAAAATTGACGCACTAGTATCGAATCATCCCAAAGTGACAATTAAGTTCCATGTACCCACAGAAAGTAGAGTAGGATGGTAAACCTGAGGCTAAGAGCACTAAGCATGAACTGCCAAACAGGTCACCAGTATATTCAAGAAACTTTCGACTGTGGGATCTGTCTGGGTAGCTAGTATCGTATGAAGAAGGGTTGGTGACGTTATTTGTGAAGCTAATGTCCAAAGGAAATGTCTGACGTATGAACCACGTACGACCTGCAGAGCATACATCAAATAAGGAGCCACAGGGACCCAACCTATTATTGGGTTACCTTATTGTTACAGCTAGTCAGAACCAACAAATTCGGAGCAGCGGAAACAGCAATCAGGTCGTGAAAAGATCGTCAAGAAAGCATCGCCTTACCCAACACCAGCTAAATCCTGGGAACCAAATCTATTTTCTGAAGGGAAAGAAGATACATTGAGCCAATCAAAAATCATCCAAATAATAAGTGCACGTGATTAGCCAAGAAATGGTCTCCATTTCTAAGAAATGAAACGTTACCTTATCACACCATCAGTGCGTTGGTTTTCTAAAGGAGAAGCATGCACGAATGGGTATACATATCGATTCGGTTATTCAGTAAACTTCCTTCTCCTCTTTCACTCGAGTAGTCGGTTTGGCTCGTGTATAAGAAGATTGTATATCAGTATCAAAATCGGACACTGTAAAACAGCAAAAATCATCAAATTAGTTCTTAACTAAGCCAATCAACATGGTTAAGCTTTTGTATGAGATCTCATGGCCTTTGATCCGACCGCTGATTAGGTGGGGAGTGTACACATATTGGAGCGAAACTGCTCTCTAGTACTTAGTAGTTTTCAATAGTAGCCTAACTGAGGCCAACCTGCAACGATTACAACCTACAAATCTAACCAGTTTCCTCAAAGCCGGTCCTACCTAAATTCTATCTCTACAACAGTGACTGGATTTCATTCAGGTATATTTGAAGTGAGTGAGAACACTCAGATAAGGACAACCAATTTATTGTTTAATGGAAGATTACAGAGTTTTTTGGTAAAATGTGAAGACCGTACATCAAATGCTTCACTTACAAATCTTCCAATTCTCAACTCCTTTCTGTTTTCTTCACTTCATCCTTCTCAATGTTTTGACAGTCATTCCGCTTCTGATCAGTGTTACATACTACTTATGACTGTCGACATACGTAACGCACACCACATATGTATCGGTTCACTAGTTGATTCATTCGCGTTACTTTTCACTTTGTCTACTATTAGTTACTGAGTTAGTCATAGAAGACAAATTTTTACTTTTACAGTCGGTGGAAATTTTCCAGTTTCCAGATAGAGTCGGTTGATGTTTTCTCTCAAAATAGGATTAAATAATCTTGACACCTCTCACTTGTCAGTTAGCACTGCTGATAACCATGGAGTTGTCAGGTAGTTGGATGTGTTCGGGAGGAAACCCTGACACACCTAAGCTTCGTGTTAGTTGACACTCATTGGGAAGGTAAACCTGTATTAGTGAGGGATCTAATGCTCCCATGAGATTTGAATCTGTGTCGTCCAGTTTCATAGTGGGTAGTAGATCTAGGGTTCTTGGTAAAAACTATGACACACACAATCATATAATCGTATTAGACCACTCATAATTTTGGGATTTATCGGTAAATACTGCTGGGTTTTTTTTAATATTTAAAATACGTTTTTCAATTGGATCCTTTTCTCGTCCTCCAGATTATAGAAATTCCTTACGACAGCCAAATGACTCGTACACGAAACCGTGTACTCGTTCGTGGTTTAACTACGTGAGTTGATTTCTCCATATTTTTCCAAACTGTATCACATGTCGTTTGATAAATGCCTTTCAATGTTTAAAATGGATTTCCTCCTCAACACCATTAGTAAATATAACTGTTAAAAGGTATATACTTTTTTCTAATAGATAGAACACATAAAAATATAATCGTATTATATGAAAAACTTTGGTCCATAAATAGTAAAAGAAGGTTATATCCTCATAATCCTGTGATAATCAGTCGATAATGGCGATCGGTTATTATTTCGTACTGACAACCTCATTCATTGCCAGTCCTACGCTAAATATAGACATAAAGATGTTAGTTGATCACCCGTCATTTACACTTATAGATAGTATGGTTTTTACTGCAGATGACTGCTTAGTAGATTGCATATCAGAACAGACATGTGTTACGTCGAAATCAATACCTAAAAAAGCTAATTTAGTCCGCAATCCTGTTTCCGTTGTTCATTATTTACCTATAATCTAAGTAGGTCGCGGAGACTAGTCTTTTAAGTCTTAACTAAGTTGTAAAGACTGTAAAAAGCTTAAAATAAGAGAATTTAATGGAACATAATGGCACGATTCCAAAATACGTGAGGGATGGTGATCAGAAATTATATATTAATTTAACCGAAATACTAACTGAGTTATAGGGATAGAAGGTATCATTCTAGCATACTGATCTCCATTGCTCAGCCAGGTTTATCCAAAGGGCTTTTGTGATGACCGTGGACAAATCAGATTGGTAAGTGATCGCAGGCAATCTTTAGGAGCCCCTGTTTGATCTAGATTTTTTGTTAGTTATCACTTGGTAAAAGGATATGCCTACTGTCTTTAAGGAAACGATGTGCCCCCCTACTGAATCCAAAATTTCTTTACCCACTATCACCGTTAGAGAAGTTACCATGAGGTTGTTCCAGTTGTGACTAAACGATAGTGGTGAGATATTTACACTGATTAACCGCTTTTTAGTAACCAGGTGTCATATTTGTTTAGCCTTTTGATGTTAACTGTGTTTTATCAAGCAAGTTACAATAAGAGCAGCATTCTAAATATTTTGATGTTTAATTGTTGGGAAACCAAGCAATTTCTTAGTTAGGACATTTATCTGTAAGAGTTTGTATTTTCACTTTATTGATATTAAAAATTGTAATTAATCAGTTTGTATTCGCATATGTGCGTCCTGGCTCGACGTTACACTTCGTCACATGTTTTGTAGAGTAGATGGACTCTGGCCATCAAACGAATCTAGAACCTACGCTTGCTCCCATTCAGGGCTCGTCAGTTGAATGTGCCTGCATCCCATTTTTGATATTCATACTGCTATTGAAACTTAGTACCTTTCGCTTCGGACACTCAATGTGTTACTCGCTGAGTTCAGATGGTCACTAACTTTCATTTTATTTGTAAGGGATTGCATTTTCCAGTCGTAGATCCCACTACTAGACGCTATCCAACTTTCATAAAAGCTTATGGTTAAGTGGAAATACGCTCAGGATGCCCATACCTCAATAAAAAACAATCAGTTTCAGTCCTTATAAAAAGTACCATACTTTACTAGGTCATCTTAGTAAACAACATGAATGTAATTTAAAATTCTCTACAACTTTTTGTTCCTGAATTCTTCTCAAAACTTTTAGACCCGGCAGAGCAGCTCTTTTTGCAATGGCTTGTACTGGTTCTGGACTATCACTGCTTTATTTCGGTGTAAATCCTCTTGTTACTTCATTGGCTGCTGTAAATATGTTATTGTATACATGTATATATACACCATTGAAACAGATTAGTCAAGTTAATACATGGGTTGGAGCTTGGGTTGGTGCTATACCTCCATTGATGGGTTGGGCTGCAGCTACTGGACAATTACAGTGTGGTGAGGTTATCTCTCTCTTTCTATATATATATATATATATATATATATATATATATATATATATATATATATATAGCTGTCATTTGTATAGTCCTTGTCGTCTGTTGCACTATTGAACATACTGAGGTTATTTTTCTGCACTGATAATGACCGTGAAAAAGATATAACAATCAAGTTAACGTTTTCTTGATTATTAACTTGTCTACCAGTTACAGATTCGTCTACTTGACTTCGGGGTGCTAGTGGTACTGTGAGACTTCTCAAGCTGAAAATAGATTTACTGGTATTCCAACATGAAACTTAGTAGCTAAAAGTCAAATGGCTCAAATAAACAGCCATCGCTTCGCTTAACGTTAGTAGGTTATGAAAATGTTTGACGGATAAAACGCAGTGTTAATACTGTTTCTAGTATAGAAAGAACCTAGTTATTGGATTTTCCACGGATTAATGTCACCTAGAAAGCTACTGAAACATAGAGAGTTGTAAAAATCTGTTTCGTCTAGTCAGTTGCTTCCAAATACCCCGATCCAGACGAGAGTGAGGAAAGTCCGCTATCCTCCTCAAAATGCTCGTATGGTCACACATATATAGCCAATCCCTGGGAACATTACCAAGGTTTGATTTGATAATTTTAAATGAACTGAGCATTAGGTAGATTGTTATAAATAAATTAATATATTTGTAATATCCCAATGAGTATAAAAATGAGATTTTCTGAAGTTTCGTAAGCCACTTCTTCAGAGAATAAATAACCAAATCAAAATTAACCCAAGTTTAAATAGTGCAAAGGAACATTACAAGAATATTATATGCGATCAAACAAAAAACAGGCCTGAGATATTACAAATATATTATTTAATTCACAATGCCGTGGAAGTTCTATTCAATGCTCTTTCGCGGCAAGGTTATTGTTTACGAAATTGAGAAGGAAAATTGAATTTCTAGAGATTAAATTGTGTTGATGGGTACGAAGGATCCACCTAAGAGAGTCAAAAAACTTTGATTCCAAACGAATGGTGCATAAACCCATTCTTGGTCACTGGGCACCATGGAACTGCATCTAACGTTGTCCTAGTTCCTTGTGGACTAGACTTCTAGGTGAAAAGCTCGATGAATGGTCCCCTAAGAAAACCACCTGCTTTAGTTTGGGAACCTGAGCAATATCCCAACCCACATAGAGTTGATACTTTTTGTGGCACATATATTTAAATAAATCAATAAATAATAATCTAACTTTGTTCAGTTCTCACCACTGCATCATACTATTATTCGATGTCATCACTGGGTAATTATTTCATTTTAGTATGGAATTCTGAACTGCTACAAAACTTTCTAAATGCCACTTGTTTTAACTAATTTTCCAACCAGTCAGTCGGTGGTTGAAACCACTTTTAAGTTGTGCAAACAAACACAAACCACTTTTATAAAAATGATATTTAATATGGTGAGTGTCCCCAAATGCCCTGGTACGGCCGAGAGTGGGGAGAGTCCGCTCTCCCTCTCCAAATACTCTCACATAGCTACGCGTATATAGCCACTGACAGAGAAGTCTTACTCACTGTCTTCTCGTGGCATTACTGTTGTTTACGAAATTGAGAGGACGAAAAGTGAATGTCCGGCGCTTTAACCGGGTTGGTGGACATGTAAGTTCACCTAGGGCAGTTGGAAAACCCTGATTCCAAACCAATGGTGCACATGGGATCCAGTATTCTGAAGGAACAAATGGCGTATCAATCGATCGTTGGTCACCGGCTAACATGGGACTGCATCTCCTCACGATGCTTCACTGCCTTGTGGATCAGACCTTTCGGTTGAAGGCTCCTGGTGTGGCCCCTTAAGAAAACCACCTGCTTCAGCTTGGGCACCTGGGCAGTATCACAGCCCTGACACAAATCAAATGAGATTTGTATGGCGCATATATATCTCGTGCCCCTTTGTACCAATATTTATGTGTTTAAATAAATAAATAAAATATGGTGACTGTACATGCTTCTTGCTTAGTGGTGCTGTCATATGGACTTTTGATGAAGTTTACTGTCATTTAGGTTAGAGAAGTATTCTGGATCAATCAAGCAATATCTTCCACAATGAAAATTTTTAGGCCTTACATTTCTTCCTTTGGTACTATGAACATACTCATGCTCACCTTGTATGTTTCAGAAATTGTGTATTTGTTTGGAAAAAACTGAGATATTATGATGAAAAAACCGTGTTTACTGCTTCCGAAACTGATTTTTTTTCATAACTAACCAAGCAATATGAAGCTTACTTATTTAACCTCAAGTATTTTCATAATGATGTGCACGTGCTTTCTCCTTTCACAATAAACTATGGTAGTTTCTGCCCTATCCTATAATTGATTCATATTTTTCACATTTTTCTATCTTTTTTAGGTTCAATAATCCTAGCATGTTTGTTGTATGTATGGCAATTTCCACACTTTATGGCACTCAGCTGGAATATGCGTAGTGAATATTCCAAAGCTGGTTACTCAATGACGTCTATAATCAATCCGGATTTATGTAAACGAGTTGCTTTACGTTATTCAATAGCATCAAGTTTAGTTTGTTTAGCTGGTGCTGGTTGCAGTGCTATAAGTTTAGGACCATGGGCTGGTTGTGCATTAGGCATTGGTTCATTGCCAGCTAATATAGGTTTAATTTATTATGCATGGAAATTTGCTAAATCCAATTCGAATGTTGGTGATGGAAGTTCTGCTGCTGCAAGACGTTTATTTCGAGCAACATTATTTCATCTACCTGTAGTTATGATCACTGTATTATTGGGTTCTTATTGTTCTATCAATGCTGGACATATGTAGTGATATATCTGTAGACGATTGGATTAGGCTTATTAATATATGTACCTAGATATTGTATAACGTATTGTCGTTTTCGTTTTTTAGTACATTACCTTTAATTTGTCTCCTTTTTGTATTACCCATGCTCTGTATGCAAATGGAGTTTTCTTCATACTAGTTGTATTAGTAATTTTTCCCAACAACTTATAATACAGAATGATTTATACTGAATAAGTAGTTGACTATTTATTTTACTGTAGAGGGTTTGTAGAATTTGTTAAATTTTTTAGTTAACATTACTGATTGTCCTTAGTCAGATAATCATTAAAAATCACAAAAGACTGGACATTTGTTTCACTCTAGTATGGAACTCCCCACCATTGTGCATCCAAGATCCAATCATTTGTCGGACCCAGGAGCTTCAGGTTTTGCAGCCGGTGATTAACCTTTAGATTGCTAGGGCGGGATATAATGATTTATGTTTCCAACTGTAATCAGTTCACAATATTGTGCACTGCACTGGTTACGGCTTCTCATGTGCTGATTATTGACAAATTTTCAGACTGATAGTGAGAAGCCGTAACCAGTAGAGTTCAACCTTTTGTTACACAATGATTCTAAAGCCAATAGATCTGGAGTTCAAGAATAAGAAAATGTGAACGCTTTTTTAGAGGTTTATGTGCTGTAGTGTATAAAATTTAAATTGATTAACCATCGTAAGAGACGCGAGCACGGTGTATTCAACTGTGATCCACTGCAGATGTTTGACCGAACACTTTCAGCTAGAGGTAAATCTAATAAAATTAATTAGCTTAGGGTTGCTGACGAAGAAGATATTCAAGGATTTGTTTACCCTTATAAATACTTAGAAATTATGAGATAATGATGGGCACGAAAATAAATGATCAATCTCAGTAATTGCTGCAATGGACGATTCAGAACAATATGAAGACTCGACTTATCAAAAACATTCACTAACATGTTACTAAGAGATAAAATCGAAAAGAGAAAAGTGCGTGTATAGTATACAATCGATATTACATGACAAAAAGTGGGACGAACTCACTTTAAACGGGAAAAGAAGCGGGACCGTGCACTAAAAAGAAATGGTCTAGTGATTTGTGAATATCGTGACGCCAATAACAATGTAATGGATGAATGACTAGTGTGATTGGATAAATAAATATAATGATTCGAAGATTTAGTAGTTTGATTGTTGTGATCTTTATAGTAAATTTACAACTTTTGCGGATAATACTACGACAATATGAATAATGATTTACAAAATTAACGGATAAAAGTAATCGGTACATAGTTTTAATAATTGGTCTTGTGAGTATATTCATGTGTAGTGATTTGGATTATTTGTTTGCATCGGATTCGATGAGTATGTTGTTGTTATAACTTGTGGCCGAGTGGATGCCTAGTTAACGTATGACGTGATAAAACCGCCAATCAGAGAGCAGCGATTTATCGATTGGAACAGTGACACGAAAACCGCACGAGCAGTCTAGAGTGCTAATCGGTCCTGCTTTCTGCCTAGCCCAGCCAGTTGAGTCCAGGACACTAATAACAGTCTCTGCGGTATGAATCATTGTATTTCAAACATACTGAGTTTATATACCAAACAGACTGACCACATCGTAACAATAAAATAGGAAATAACATTTGTACAAGATTCAGCCAAATGTGGCTGTGAATGTGGGAGGCAGCAATTAATAGACTAAGGATAACTCAAGAATGGTAAATCGTATAATAATAGTTTATAGGTCAAAATAAAGCTTATAATAAGGGGGACACAAATATGAATAGTTATACGATAAACAATATATATATGAATTAAGATAATTATGAGCTGATTAATTCTGGTAGGCTTTATTGAATGATAGATGGCTACTGTTTGACAGATTTATAATAGAGCTGTATTAATTATGTCGATAATTCAGGAGTAGCATAAGAATGATATTTAAATGAGGTTGGACCGTAACTTATCACTTCGATAGCTGAATTATTTATTCACTGATAAAACATTGTATTTAGAATGCAGTTATAAATATGGTTGATAATTTATATGCTGAATCTGGATTAATCCGTTAACTTATTGAAAGATTAAGGATGACAGTTTATACTTTTATTGATTTGCCACTTCAGGTAGACCTCAGGAGAAACGTCTGATTATTTTAACTATACTTTGTAGTCACAAATTCTTAGAATTCATAAGTAAAGTTTAGGCAATCGTATTTATGTTGAACTAGTGCAGTGTATACAAAATACTGCTTATCATATCATGATCTCTTTCTAAACTGCAATAACTGTTTACCATATCAAACATAAACTATTTATCTTTCACATCTCTTTGCTTTTTATTAAGTAGGAATTAAGTTCTAAATCCTGAATTTGTGAATCTCCAACCAACAGTCTAAAGTACAATCCTAAAGTGGGACCTAATTTTTTCAGTCATTTTTCAATTGAATGTCAAACTATAGATATGAAGAAAACTCTGTAAAATACAGTTATCAATATCGAAAATATTCATTGAGTTGATAAAATCCAAGTTAAAAGCCAATAAACCACCCCTAAATATTATTAACAATGAGATTTATTAGTACTTCTACGGAATAAATTACATACGTCAGTTTCAAATCTAGTAACAAACAAAACGAACTCAACTACAGCCGATCAAAGTCCGTTTATAGTAGCATTTATTGATAGCGCCTATCGAGTTAATTATATTTTTTTAGTGGCGCAATATCTGACTTCAGTTATATCGTATGATGATTGTCATGGAAATATACATGCTAGCTACCCTCGTATATAAATTACCAACTTAATTCGCGTTAGAGAATGACGGAATTAAATAAGTCAAATATGAGAGTGGATTTTGTATACGTATATTTCAAACAATTGTTGATCTAAACAGACAATCAGAGAAAGGGAGCGAAGAAAGACTAGACGAAAAGCAGCAACGCACAGTAGAGGAGAGTGAACTAACTCAACTTAGTCAAGCATGACTCGATATTTATAGTCAAGCAAAAATAAATTACAGACACATGATGAATAGGGTAAGTGATTAATACACATACGATCATACAAAAAAGTCAGGATCAATAAGCAAATAAGTGACAAGGTAAAAGTGTGGCTTGAGGGGAATGAATAGATCAGTCTGTCCAGAGTTTAGAATAACCTATGTGGGCTTGACATTGTACCAGCTCCAACAAATGCATAACATTTGAAAAGTGTTTTCGTTAAGTAGTGAATCGAATAGGCATGAGTCTTTAGAACATGTTAATCGTAATATCCCCGTGTCGTTCATAACACTGCACACTGGATGCTGAATTGGATGTTTCGGAACCTCGGTAGACTATTTTGGTTGTCATCATAACGAAAAATGATTTAAATCTAAAGCAGTGAAATCAGAGATGATAAAATGGGTGTTTATGACGAAAAGTCAATTTTTGGTTTGTTCTTTCAAAGGCAGTTCATTTTGGTTGATGGAATCTGTTATAATATGTGGAAGGGTTACTCTGAATTACAGCCAGTACGAAAAGATTGGAACTACTTACACCTTAAGATGAATAGGTTCAGCAGTGTGTTTAACTTAGAGTTTTCGGCAATTTTCACAGTATTTAACACAGATAATCTGAACCCCGTAAGTGCTGACAAGAAAACCACTTTATGTTACATAGCATGCAGTAAAACAGCAGAACGCTTTTATCTTACGCTTGTGAAAGTGTTAAGTGTGTTTTACTTTTTCAAGTTCTTAAGGTTTGTCTACTCGAATTTATGAAGCCTTAAGACAATTTAAGGCGAATTACTGTTTCAATTGAGAGCAAGTAACAAATAACAACCACATACCACTATAAATTTCCACATATCTATACTGATAGGGGCGAACATGAATCGCTTACCAGGAACCTTTCGGTTAACTTAAAGCATCTAGACGATTTGATTCATCTAAATGAGTATGTATCCTTTTGAGTAGCTCAAACAATTATGTGCAGATAGTACGTATTTCGAGTTAGATTTGATCACCAACGTGTCGGATCATTGGTATAATAATATAATTACCCGAACTCTATTTTGTTATTGCCTTTGTGCGTTCCACGTAATGCTCTTAAGGATAATACTGTTATCTACTGAACAAAGGTGACTCTGTATTGCCGTGCTTTGTTAATCATTCACCCCGATAACCGTTATAATACAAATCTTAACAGTGCATAAAATCAGAAGGCAGCGGCAGCAACAGTTTATTGTCAAATAACGCAGGTCAGAAAGTTATAAGCACATGAGCAAATATCAGCGAGCGAAGCAAAAATGACACGCATTGAAGGTGGCGGGTGAGTCAACTCGCTTTAATCAATATTTATAATCAGAGAAGAATAAGTTACAGACATGTGATGAATGGGATAAGAAGTGAACACACACATACGCTCATACGAAAAATAGTCAGTGTTAATAAGCGAGTAATTAACAAGGTGAAAACAGACTCAAGTTGAATAGGTAAATTGGCTTGTCCAGAAGTTAAAATAAGGTATATGGGCTTAACATAATAATCGACACTACAACTCTTAAATGTACTGTAGATTTAGTATATACAGACATTGACGACTATCTTTAAAACAAGTGTCTTTCATAACCAATTACATTAGTTCACAAATCAAATACTATACCCCTAATATATTTGAACCATTATAAGTTTGTTAGTAAGGCATGTCACATACTAGTTTAAAGCATAAATATGAAAGTACTTTTTTCTATTTGGGTCATATTTATACTGTACTTTTATAGAATACGTACTTAAACTTTTCAAATGAAAAAAATAAAGGCGAGAAATTCCACTTTAATTTTAAGACAGAAGAATGTTCGGACATAATCAATAAGGTATGAACTACATAAAATTAGATAACAATTTTGTGAAAAATAGAAGAAAGGATACATAAACAAATGAAGTTGACAGTAGATACAACTTAATCAATATAAATTTAGTTCTCTTAGTTACATTTTACTATTCACAAGAAATACAACAGTATCTCTGATAGTTACTATTCTGAGATATGTCTGGTAAAATCGCAAGCAATTGAGCTGTACAGCTTGTAGGACCAAGTTCAAGAGAGAGACGATGTCTTAATTCAGTGGAAATACCATTTATTCCACTTGGCTGAGCAAGGGATTGACAGTCTATTTCATTAGCTTTTGTAGGTCGCATCCGAACTGCTCAACGGTGGTCCAAGATTTTAAGAAGCCTGACCTTATTATGATTGAACATAACAGTGAGGAACTTAAAAAGTACTTTGTTGGAGTTTTGAACACAATTCTTTGAAGAACATATAACATCGACAATGAAACCTTCTGAAATGTCAGTAACACTTGTCCGTTGTTTAATCTGTTTAAATGTCAAAACTTGACGACGGTGATCTGAAATAGTACGAGTGATCTCACAACAATCGCATTTGGTTTCACATTTGGTAACAACCTCTGGAAGGTAAACTAGGTACTTGTCTTTATACTGTTCTTAAAGGCACAGTTTGTGTGAAATTTAATGAAACAACCAGGTCGATAAAGCCAAATTAGTTCGAAAGAAATCTAAATAAACAACCGGCTGATTGGAGAGCGAATCAGTTAACCACCAAGACAGAAAAAAGCCATCTGACAACTAAAGACTATTTGAACGGGACATAAATAAGTTATAGGGTGAGATAAACACATGACTATTTGATAGATGACAACGATAGGCATAAAATCTACAGCTAACATGGAATGTATATATAATAGGACTAGTCAGGAATCAAATCATGAAGCACTACTAAGTGATTAAAAGCAAAATTATCCAGAGGGCTTTTCTTCTTATGTGGTGTGGTCTACTTATATCTATATAAGTAGTATATGGTGTGGGTCAGACATAGAATGTATTTTGGCAGAAGACCGATGAAGAAAGAACTGAAATGAAACGCAAACGTCTGGAAAATGCATGAGCAATGGAATAAGAGAAGAAACAGTGAAGATTGAAACAATTGATTGTTAATTTGCAAATTGACTGTTCATTGTTTGGTAATCAGAATTTACTGAGATAGTCTGTAATGTTTGCTTAAATACATTCGATTGTCCCCAACTAGTGTTCTGTTCACTAAATTTGGTGTCGCTGCCAACCGGGAGGAGGAAGGGTGCTGTTCTGCGGACGCTGATGCGGGTCTGGAGTTGAGGTGCTAGTTGGGGCAGTCTGGTGCGGAGAGGTGGCGTCGAGTGGGGTGTTCTGGCGAGGCTGCGTTGGCTGTAGCGGGTGCTACCGACGGAGAGGAGCAGTGGGACGTGCGGCTGCTGGGCGGACATCGGATGTAGATGGCTCAGCAGGCCGGTGGAGTACGGGTGTTGAACGTCCCAGGTGCCGGGTGGATGCGGATGTTGGTGCCCCGGCAGGTCGACGGAGCTATGGAGGTCAGCGCGCCGCAGACTCGACATTCTGACGGAGTGTTTGGCACAGACTGCAGTGAAAGAAGATAGTGGCGTGGCGAGCAGAACCACCGCATGAACGAATGCTTTAAAGGGGGGACGAGTGTGGTGTGGTCTACTTATATCTATATAAGTAGTATATGGTGTGGGTCAGGCATAGAATGTATTTTGGCAGAAGACCGATGAAGAAAGAACTGAAATGAAACGCAAACGTCTGGAAAATGCATGAGCAATGGAATAAGAGAAGAAACAGTGAAGATTGAAACAATTGATTGTTAATTTGCAAATTGACTGTTCATTGTTTGGTAATCAGAATTTACTGAGATAGTCTGTAATGTTTGCTTAAATACATTCGATTGTCCCCAGTTGTGTTTTGTTCACTACACTTATACATCTATTTCCAAAACCCACTCAAACGACATAATTAACAATGAATAGTAAAATAAAAAGGCGGTAACAGAATAATTTCCTATATATTCAGTCATTTTTGAAATTTCTCTCGAACTAAATGCTTTACAACGTTTTGAATATGTGGTATAATTAGTTTTCTAGCTTCAATCCATTCTTGCTTTACTTTTTCAGGATTTTTTATGGAAAAATATTCAATACCATTTTTGTAGTGAGGAGCAAAAAAAGATTCTTGACTAAGAATATTCAATTCATCGTTATCGTTCTCTTGATTTTCAGCAGGTATGTCTTCATTTTCATCTAATGTTTTCCATTCTTCCAAAACTTGTTCTATGGGAAAATCAAATTTAAACTGGTTATGATCCATTCAAAATCTAGATTTCTGAAAACAAAGATAAAACATGTATTTAATTGGATTAATAAAATTAATTAGATAATAAAATGGATACAGCATTATTGCATTTGCGATTCCCTCTCAAATGAAGAGGAGCTGAGAGTCGGACATATACCTTCAATGAGAAGACTAGAGTAATAAATTTATCAACCAACAATTTTTTAAAGTAATTCTTGAACACCTAAGCTGACAATCGTTAACTTATTAACAAATAATCCCCCGAAAACATTCATTAGAAATATTTTCACCAACACCATGAAACCCGAACTTGCAAGTAAGTTTATTTTGTTTAGGACTATTACCAAACGGGGCCATTATAGGTATAGATTTTGCAACAACATAAGAAATAAGACTGGTTATTTATTCACTAGGCAGATAAACATCAAGATTTTGACCAATCAGTGTCAGCGAAAAAAGGTCTTGAGACAGTTTTCGACATGGCGAAACCAAACCAGTTTCATGACATACGGAAAAGAAAGAAAACAATAGCTTGCACTGATAGCTTTTTCTTTCTGTATCCTAGATACAGGCACCAACTTTGTTGTTAGTTACTGCGAGTCTCAATAAATGATGTTATATATTCATAGTCAAGAGTTTAAAGACATTCCTTCCTCCTTCAATAACCAACAGTTATTATTTCACTTCATAATTTCAATGATGAAAATTATGCTCCTTAATGGCAATATGTGATGTAGACGTTTATGTTTTTAACGTTTTACAAACTATCATTAAAATTTTCAAATAGAATGCTTTTTTAGACATACTTAAACATATTCAATTGGATGTGCTGCGTCCACACAAACGAGGAATAAATGGTAAAAGTATAAATGCATTAGTAGTCCGTATAAAACATGAGATATTTGTAATCACTATTTATGTTAAATAGTTCACTTTATACGGCTAACTGTTACTTGGTTTTAGATTTCAGTCGACGATAACTATGACTTTTAGTTACAAAATAGAAATGTCACTAGTACCTTATCTTTTCTAGTATTTTTGTAAACTTATTAAAATTTTAGAAGAGGTTTTGTGGAAATTATAGTAATTTCAATAGTTAAGATCATGAGTCAATTGAAGCTAGAGCACCATGAAAAACCTAGAAGCACTGGACGGTCGTTTCGTCCTATTGTGGGACTCGAATCTCGCACTGCTGAGGAGTCCCACAATAGAACGAAACGACCGTCCAGTGCGTCCAGGTTTTCCATGGTGGTCTAGCTTCAATTGACTCATGATCTCAACGATTGAAATTATTAAAATTTGTTTAAATAAACGAATTTTCATACATGAACCATTCTCCTGACTCATTTTGACTGTAAAGAAAGGTTGGATTCTAAGAGAGGAACAATGGAAGTGCTTGTACGAAAATTAAACTATTTCGCCTAAATCTAAAAGAAGGAGAAATATTGAGAGCAAACTTTAAGAGAAAAGTAGACTACTCGAAGTAACCAGAGATGTAAATTGTTTGATATTTCCTCTAGAGGTAAACATCTGAGGAAAAAATCTCACTATCCTAAAGTCCCAACTTTGAGAAAGATTCGACCAACTTTATGGAAACTTTGCATGAGTTATATTAGAAAATCTGGGCAATGCAACAAAAAAACCATCATTTCTACTAGTCTGGAAGGTTTCCTTGAAATTTTCGATGGTTCTGGTGAGTTCCTATTTCCAAAAGTTATGCGCGTATTGAGGTGAGAGTCTAAAACAAACCTTTTAAATTAAATCACTCATCAGGTACTTGGAGGTTATGAGACACACTCTAAGTGAGAGCTAACGATACTAACCGAGTATTCATACAGAAGCAGATGGAGTGGAGTTCACTTAAAACTAAAGACTAGTAACAACATGCTACCACATCACGTTCAACAACAAACTTAATACTTAAACAAGCAATTATTACAAATTATTGTCGTCAACTTAGCACAAAGATTTATCTGAAACTTTGAGACACTTAGACCTATTTTCAGCATCGCTTGTAACTCACAACATCCATCAGAATCGCATCGAAATCTGGTTTTCTATCACCAGAAGTATATGTATCTTCAGATGTTCAATAGTTAACCACAAATGTGGATTTATACGACAGATATACACTGTATTTTAATGTTAACGTAATACTGCGAGGCTATCATTCCATTCTTACATACGTTTGTGTTCATTCAATGGCATTACTTTCCAAGAAGTTTCCCGTTAGAAATAGTTCTAAGTCGAATACGTCTACACATTGGTTCACACTTTTAGATAATAGCAGCACTTTTAAAAGTTAGAGTTATCAACGAAGTTATCGTATGTAATGGTTTTAAGTTTTATAACACAATTGCATTTTCCTTCAGCATCAATCCAAATTTCATGTTATTATCAACGACATCGACAAGAAGGATGTGCTCAAAAAGCCAAGCAACTAACTGTTAAACGAGCAATTATTTATATACAAGGAGGATTAGACGTCAGGAAAAATCACGGGTCAGATCAATCCCATTGCTGACTGCTTTCTAAAAAACTCCAAAGTTTTAAACTGTTGTGGTTAGTTGTGATAAAATATCTTTTCATATGACTTCCAGTCAGCTGTGGATTCAAGTGCGGGATTTACTACTATCCTCGGTTAAAATATCAAAGATGTTATGCTATCGTATCACTCAATAAAGTCTATAAGGTACAATGATGATAGCATACAACAAAAACTTTTGTCGGAGAAGCAAAACGGAAGCACAATGTTGATGTGTACACCTCCGAGGAGTCGGAGGTTCGATGTTCTTTTGTAGACTTCCTATAAATTAATATTTAGGCGAGTCTTTACATAAATCTATTACGCAAGTGTTTGGTGATTTGATAGGACGAAATTTTCGGCTGTTAAAATTAATAAATGGAATTTCGACTGATAGATGAATGCGATGACATGATGTGGCCTTGTGGTGGCTACTCACGAGACTTTGTGATAAAATGATGTGCTTAGATACAGAATACGAATACAAAATAAACATGATTAAATATCTGAGGTGTAGGTCACTCATTACCCAACCAATCAAGACATAAAGATTAGGTTTAATCTTTGGGCATCGTGTCACAATTGCAAAGTATTCATTTAATAGATTCATACAAATCAGTTTTTTTCAAAAACCGAAGTTTTGTCATCACTTGTACTATTAACGTTATGTGACATATTAAACAAGAAAGTTGTATCGTTTTAATGGTCGGAGGTTTCAGGCCTTGAATCAAAATGTTAACAGAACAATGCCAACCACTGAAGATTTATCTAATCGGAAAAATAAGCTGACGGCTTACGTTAAAATCTCATCCATCAAAGTTAAGGGAAAAAGCATATAAAACGTGGATTCCTGGCTTTTACAGTTTCAACCTCAGACACCTGTAGGACCAGGTACATTGGAAGCTATATTGGGAGATCGAAAATTCCGTGATCGATTTAAGTTGCAACTGTTGTTAATTAAGGATACAAGATTATCAGTGATCATTGAGAGTGATCTTCGTAAGTCGACAAAGTTAATTTGGGCTTACATAACGACAGACTAACTTGCAATTACTTTAACTCTAGATGAAATAAAAAGAGGGCTGAGTATTATCAATCACATATTTTACAGAATGATTTGCAGTAGGTCAGAATTATAACAAACATTAGTGATTAGATGTGATGTGTTCCATATTTCAAAGTGCTTCCTTGTTTGAGAAAGATATCAAATTGGTTCATCAAATGACCCTGCGAGCCATGCCATCTTGCACAGTGCAAGAAACAAAGTAAAGAAGCGTGAGTCAGAAGTAAAAGAAAATCTAGGCATAAGTTAGTTCGTAGGTTTATGTACAATTCACCTATCACTGGGTATTTTCACTGATCAGATGGATTCATAAATACTAAATAATATCACCTTAAGTTATTCATTCCATGCAAAATTTCGTAGCTCATTTCATTTCATACGTTTACACCAACTCTTGCTACATACATGTACTCCGTCAACAAAGCTTGAGTCCAATATTTCGATGAAGTTCAGTCAATTATGTAGTACTTTTAATCTTTTTTTACTTCTTTTCCTACCTGGTTAATCAATTTAAATGCATACCATCATAGTAACTTATGTTTCTCATATTAACAATTTCATATCATCGATTAACGTTTAAACTGTTGTCGGTATTTTATTCAGAACATTATGGATACTAGTCTGATCAAAAGTTAGGGAATCGTCAGATTTCCATATTTAACTACAAACTTTAAAGACAAATTAGGATTCACGCAACATGTTCCTCATATTTTCAAACGAATCTGCTATTTTTTATTTGTAACGCGTCAGTCTTCTGAATACGATGATAAATAACTTGAGAGCGCATGTCTTTAAAAAGTAAACCATTTCGATAACAGCAGTGAACTTTAATTATCGGTTCTGATACAGAGGCATTATATCATCTATTCAGAACCATTTATTCATGTCACAGAATGTATAATGTCAAGTGTGTAAGGTGGTATTATATAGATTCTCGTAACAAAGCAGTGAATCCTAAATGAAACATAAGCGATTTCCCCGCGATTTTGTAGAGTTATGGATTCTGTGAGAAATGGATGGAAATTTTGAGGTTTAATTTGTGAAGTTTAGTGAAATTCCCTAGCTTTTATGGACATTTAATGCACATTTGGGTGACTTCCAAAAAAAGCAGTGTAAATTTTGAGTGAAAATCTTCAGAACTAATCATCTCCGAGGTCATAGCAAGAAGGCTCAGAAACTGAGATTAAATGAATTTCGAGTGGGATTTCATTTTCCTCATTTAGTGGTCAATGACAGGAACATCTTACCCGAACAGATGGTATCAAACCCATTAAAAATACTTCCAAGCTGAATCTTCACTAGAAGAAAAGCCGTAAGAATTATAACAGGTCGGAGAACCTACTCTTCTCATTACTGAAGACGATCGGAAATCCTAGTTACCTTGTTTCACTTGTTCAAAAACTTACACCAAATTTAAAGTTAGAATTCCATAAAAATAGTTAAACCTTCCCCATAGTTGAGAGATCGGGATGCAATGCAGCACCCTATTGACGGTAAGTTATGATTGATTGTGATGAATAATTATTTTATCAAAAAAAACTCTTCTAATCAAGACAATATTACACATTATTTTAAAAAAAATAGTTTTTTCCACATTTGACCACCATTTACGTTCATTTTTTCTATTCATGGTAAGCAGATAGTAAAATAAGGCAAATTTATCATCAGTGACCGATAGTGCTATTTTTAATAATGACCTACCAATTCTACGGTACAGTAAAAATGTCAGATGTAACACGTGATATAAGCAGTCATAAGAAGGCCAAGAAGACATGAAACCGCAACACGCAATGTTAATCAGGAACTTCACACCAAGAGAGAACACGGAGTGGAATGCACGAGTCTCTTATTGTCGGAAAAAATTAAACTCGCGGGGTGGACCCCGCTACACAGATTCGTTCAAAGCTGCCCGCCGTACCGTTCAACGATCTTTAACGGCTTGACAAGAGGCTGTCATTCTGTATTTCAATTGCTGAGAGTCTGTTAAGTGTCTGTTGAGTTGCACGGATATAAGACTTTCTTATATGTTAGTGATCTATTACTGCAGCAAAACAACAAAATCATTGCGAACAACTTTGATTTAGCTTTCTCTGTCTTGTAGTGAACACGTTGTACCGATTGTTGCTTCGTAACTTCTAATCTCCTTATTTTGGGAAAAATTTTGCCCGGTCTGAGTAAATTTTGGTTGAGCGCGTCCTGTTCTGTTGTCCCGAAAGCAAAAATAATAACGAGCAGGTTTAAAACGGATCGTGGGTAAATTGTGACGTACCTGTGCCCTTGCCGTCATATCAGTCCGTAGTAATAAGGGTGATAGGTTGGTGAACCTGTGTTAATCCTCACAGATTGCTTCCAGTGAAGGTCCAGCTTCCTAAATATGCTCACTGATGTGGATAAGGGGTTCCAGCCATTGGTCACTCGATGAGAAAAAAGGGACCCCACTTTAAGTTTATTAGATCGCGGTTTGTGGAACTTATTGCTATGACCTCGAAGATTATCAGTGCTGGAGAGAGAAAAAAGATATGACATATTAACACCT